GATCTTGTTGATTGACTTCCGCACAAAGGCCCTTGAGCCGATCTGAGGGAACCGATTGTTCCCAACACAACTCAAACGCCATACTATTTACAAAATAATTAGCTAAGGGGCGGTTTGGTAGCCGACTTTTTTTGTAATCCCCGGGAAAGTTTGGTTCGACATAAATGATGTTCGTGTTTGGTACGCCAAAAAGCAAATAATTCCAAAGTAAAAAAATTCCCGTGAAAACACGTTATGTGTTATGTACAGTGTCAATTACAAATTTGAAAGTCCTTAGAAAACATTATATAATACTTCAAACAAAACATAAATTTGAGGTTATTTTTGTAAAATACTCTAACTTTTCCACTAATATTTCATAACTAACCAAACACACATTCAGTAAAATTAATCATAAATTCTCGAGAAATTTTTACCATACCAAACACCTTTTACTAATATTCTGAAAAAAATATATTCCCCACTGCATTTCGGTAATAATTATTTCCCAGATAAATAAAAATTTCTCCTCTACCAAACGCCCCCTAAATGTTAAGTTTAGGTTAAGTTAAATTTTTTTTACCTACTAAGTAATTTAATTTAGGACTGTTAATATATTAAATTTAATTTTGTTTGTTAATTAATTTAGTTTAATTTAAGTTATGTTCATTTAAATTATTTTAGAACTGTTAATTAATTACTTGTATGATTTTTTTGAAATAGATTCATAGAGTCTCCGTATAATTACCTGTCGGATTCACTGCTTGGTCGATCGCCCTGTGAGGAGCATGAGCCCGCACCTCCTGGCTCCCCAAGATCTCTACGTAGTGTTATTACATCGGGCCACATTGATACCTCTCTCATGATGTTATAGGAGAAACACATTTCCACATATATGTGAAATGGCCAAGGCAATCGGCAACTCAATATCAGACAAGTCGCCACACATACCCGTTGAACATACCTGATGACATTGAGTCGTACTTCATGACATCGACTCAATATTAGAGTACTTTGGTGAACCGACCCCCTGGTCATTTTCTCGCGGGCCTTTTGCCTATGTTCAAGAAAGTATTGCACCAGACGTGCGTATGTGAGACACACCAAAGAAGTGATAGGAAGGTTTCTTAGGCCCTTGAAAACCTTATTAACACATTCCGACAAGTTCGTGGTCATGTAACCAAACCTTCTGCCCTCTGCATCATATGCGATACTCTATTTCTCTTTGGAAAATTGATTTATTCATGCGGCTATTTGTGAACTTGCTTCTTTTAATTTCTCTAACCCAGCATCAAAATCCAACTGCGAAGTTGTATAACCTGCGTAAAATAACATAGACCGAAGCTTTAAGAAATATTCCAAACAAGTTGTGAAAAAGTACATGAATAAGTCAAAAACTATACCTAACTTCTTCAATTGCTGTTTCAACATTACATTCTTGAACTTGTGGTTGAAGTTACTCGCAAGATATCGAATACAGTAAACGTGGTATGCTTTGGGTGGTTGCCAGCCCTGCGTCGTATTATTGACTGCGGACAGTATGCCTGCATACCGATAAGATATAAGACATGTGCCTTTTTGTGTCACGTGCATCTGTATCAATGCTAAAAACCATGACCAGTCATTAAGATTCTCCCCTTTTACAACTGCGAAAGCGATAAGCAACATGTAATTGTTTCCATCCACAGTTGTTGTAATTTAATAGGGTCCCTCGATATTTCCCATACAAGTGGTTACCATTTATCTGGATAACGGGCTTACAATAATTGAAGGCATCGACACATTGTTTGAAAGTCCAGAAAACTGTGTCGAAAACCTTCTGAGATTAATACAGCCAGTTGTCAACAAAATGATCGTTTAAATCCAACTTATAGACAGCCCCGGCGAAAATCGCAACATATAATCCAACCACCTTGATAAAAAGCGTATGATTCATCCCAATCCCCATAAATTTTGACAATTTCCTTTTGTTTTGCCTTTCACATCTTCCTATAAGAAATATGAAACTCGTGATTTGTTGTCATCCGTTCTTAGATTAGTGATATTTTAACATTGGGTTTCTCCCTTATCATTTCTGCATGTCATAAAATAATTATTTATTATTAACTTCGTTCAAAAATATTAAAAGAAAATACGGGCATTTGACATACCTAGGATCATTGAACAAATGAAGTTAGAATCCAGCTGCTTGTGATCTTGAGAAAGAGTATGGTTTACACAGTTATGTTGGTTAACCCATATGCTGATAATCCACTCAGTGCCGCCTTTTTTTATGTGTGCCTGCATTCTCCACGGACAACCGTCGTTGTGATTTTCACACACCATGATCAATCTTTTTGTATCACTTTTAGCTACAACGGCAATGTGATATTGTGCCATACAAAATTGTATTATAGTCATTTGCACATCATGCTTGTTATCAAAAATATGATACTTATACAGCTCTTGACCCATTTTCCAGTTAGGTACTTGCGCTCCATCCATTGCCGACAACTCCTAATATGGGTGTGCCCAATTGATAGCCATATAGTAACTTATTTGAAACCAAAATGGAACACTCTCGTCTCCTCTATTAGCACATATCCTCCACAATTGTTCAACATTGCTACTCAAATATAATATTCAATTAATTTTTATGAATTTCGGTTACTAACCTGCCACTGGCAGGTTGTGCCCTCCAACAATGCCCGGTGTAGAAATCGGATGACATATGGCAGTGGACGGACATGAATCAAAATTTCCCTCCACATCGGTGTTCGATAAATCGCTTTCGGGAATAACCTCTTCATCTGTCCGGTCATCTGAGCTGTCTGTACAGCACGTCGGAGCATACTCATCTTGGGTAGGATGCAATTCAAGTGACATTGGTACCGGTGGTGGGGGAGACATATATCTATCTTCAGGATTCACCAACGACACACTCTAGTCATGTCGATCGACTGAATGGAAGGGTCAGAACATTGACCGCTGGACTATCCTCTGGAGTCTATTTCCACATACAACTCAATAAATCTGGAGTCTCGATGCGGTCGAAATGCATATACTCCTAAGGCGATATCTTCATCCTCAATAATCTCCACCGACACCTAACTTTCTTTACCCGAGGCACATCGAGTAGTCAAGCGAGACAAAGATTGACCACGTTCTAATCTCAATTTCTTGTATATTGTCTTCTTTAGTTCATTAAAGCTACAACGCGAGCTCATGCGAAATACTTTTGTATCTCTTTCAAAAACTTGCCCATTAGAACAAAAATACTTCCTCCCATTGTAATAGACAAACGCAATTAATGAATTATTATTATCACTCATTTTGAAAAAAAATTGAGTGAAAAAAAAGACAACAGAAAATAACTGAAGAAAGAAACAAACCCACACTGATGCATGAAATGGGAGGGAAAATGGTGTATTTATTAAACTAAAAACGTTGGACTGTTGGGCTAGTTAAGATCTGACACACACGTAAAATGCTATCCTGCACAGCGCGTTTGTCACATGTCAGAAAGCTGACACATAAAATGCTATGCTACATAGCGAGTTTAACATGTGTCAAAAAACCTAGCACGTAAAATGCAATGTTGCATAACGAGTTTGACACGTGTCAAAAAAGTTGACACCTAAGACGCCACACTACTTAGCAATTTAGGCCATGTGGCAGAAGCTGTTTGCCACGTAATCTCACGGCTCTGTGTAGCAGCTTACATGACCATGAACCTGTTGTCACGTATACACACCTAACTCACTAGGTGTTGTAGCGAGTTAGGTGATATGACTTTTTGAAAAAATAATTTCAAATCGTGGCATTCAAGTAATTCTTTGTAAACAATATAGTATTTTGGTCGTTGTCCATTTTCTGATTGATACCAGTTGTTATATATATATATATATATATATATATATATATATATCTGATTGATACCAGTTGTTATATATATATATATATATATATATATATATATATATATATATATATATATATGAGATAGGATCTTTTGACACTGCGGTTAAATTTTGAAATTTGACATCAAATCTTAACTGTTAATTTCTGCTAATCAACGGCTATCATTTATTGGGAATTAATAATTAATTCATGAGTTTGATTCACAATAAATGATAGTCATTGATTGGCGGAAATCAACCGTTAGAATTTGGTGTCAAATTTCAACCGTGTCAAAAGATCCTGTCCCGTTATATATATATATATATATATATATATATATATATATATATATATATGTGTGTTTTTTTTTTATATAAAAGCCTCCTTTAAAATGTTATAAAAAAACATTTTTTTTCTTAAAATAAATTAATTTCAACGCACATTTGCACTGATTTCTCAATTTTTATAATTTTGTAGATTTTGCTCCATGGTTAGGAGCTGTGAAACACGGACTCGTGGTTTTGGATGAATTGTGCTATCGGACACGTGTTCGACACGGACACGTTTCGACACGCAGTCAATATTTTAGGACACGTGGTCAACTCTCGGACACGCTCTGACACATTTTTTGGACACGCAGTCAACTCTTTTCGACACGTGGTCAACGCTCGTACACATATTTTTTTAATCTTAATTTTATTTTATTAACTAAAAATAAAAAAAAATCATTTATAAATCAATTTTTTTCTGTTATGAAATTTGACATGAAAAATTAACAAGGTACGGAAAATTATTTTTGTTTGTATTTATTTATGAAATTTAAATATTTGATTGGTTATATGACTTATTATAGACTGTTATATCTATTAAATATAAATTATATTTTATATATTAAAAATATTATTTAATATCAAAACGTGTCCCAACATGTCAAAATATGTCATTTTTTAAAATTAACGTGTTGACGTGTCGTGTCGTGTTCCGTATCAGTATCCGTGCATCATAGGTCAGGAGTGACGATTCTTTTACATTATTGGTATACAAGTTGTACAAAAATAGACTCCCACTTCCCAAACTAGAGTCGTGGCACACGACACGATCATCATAATATTCCAAAGGACCTAAATTCTAACACGCAACAGAATAGGGCCCCTCAACCCAATCACAAGCCGCCCCGAATTTCCTCCAAGTTTAGATACTCAATCTAGAAGCAACAAGTTTCTCTTGGATTTTTTTTATCTTAGGAGTAATCATTTCGTACATTTTTTTTCTTAATTTTTTTTAATTTTCTGGACATACCTATCTGTTAGCCAATCATGTCAACTTCATCATCGTCTTCTCCAACCCTGAAAATTGGCATAGTTGGGTTCGGTCCCTTTGGCCAATTTCTGGCAAAGACTATGATCAAACAGGGCCACACTCTTCGGGCAACTTCTCGAACTGATTACTCTCAATCCTGCCTCCAATTGGGCATCCAATTCTTCAGGTAAACCATCATTGTTTTTAATATATAAAAACACCAAGGGAATTGAGAACCTTCATTCATGTTGCATGTGTCATACGCTACAGGGATCTCATTGCATTCATTGAGTCCGAGAATGATGTCATACTCATATGCACATCCATCCTATCTCTATCGGAGGTTCTCAGCTCTATGCCACTTTCTCATCTGAAGCGACCCACACTATTTGTTGATGTCCTTTCAGTCAAAGAGCACCCAAGAGACCTTCTACTACGGGTACTTTTACTTTTTTATTTGCTTCGTTTCGATGATTCCTCCACTGTTTTCTTATCATCGTGTATTCCACCTGTGTTTTATAAGAAGAATAATTGTGTAATGTTATAGAGATTCATTTTGTGTGTCGTAGTTTTTTTTTTTTTTTTCTTCAAAAAGTGTGGGCCCACAACATCGTAGAAAATTTTGTTGTGTCATGTTAAATGACAAATGCAAATCCCATAGTCAATATTTGAGTTTTGTAAAAATGAGTTTACCGATAATTCATATGGGAGGAAGAATTGGGTTTAGGAAGATCTATTATTTTGAACATATTACACCTTATTGGAGTGACCAAAGCGGCTATTTATTTATGCAAGTTACATCAACGATAAGATTAAGAAAGTAATGTATGTTATGTAAAATGATCCCATAGGTAATGTCTCTTCTGAATTCTTAACCACGATATTTTTACCCATTTGTTTTATGTATATCTTACAGTATTTGAACAGTTAATATGCATATTAATAGAAGTCCACAACATAGAAAAGTAAGAGCTAGTTTATACATATAACTTTTTTTTTCCTTTACCAAGATCACTTTGTTATGGTTATATCAAAATTAAATTAACAGTTCTCATTCGATGTTGTTTTATAACTATTGATTTGATTTTGATTCAACGATAAAAAAAGTAGTTATAAGAATAAGTATAACCTTCCTCTGAAGTATTTTTTTCTATTTTTCCTTTCTTAAATTCCTTCAAGGTAATATTCAAAGTGAATAATTTGAATGTTTGTATCATTTCTAGAGAAGCGATTTGCCAAGATCTTGTAGCAAATAACGAGAGCAAAATTTTTTATGAAAGAATCCTTATCATATTTCAAGCACTTTGTTGCTATCTGTTAGAAATATATATAACCATTAATATAGTCTCACCCCAACCACTTAAGCTTTTGAGTTGAAATGACTTTTTACATGATATCAAAGCTTCAGTTTTCCTAATTCGATCGTCATCACCATCCATTTTCTTTATACCATCCTCTTTTAGAATCTGTTTTCATAACAGGTATTGCCAGAGGAGTCAGACATACTCTGCACGCACCCAATGTTTGGACCAGATAGTGGGAAGGACGGATGGAAGGATCTGACTTTCGTGTATGATAAAGTTCGAATACGAGATGAAGCTATCTGCTTTAATTTCCTCAACATTTTTGCAAGTGAGGTAGGTTAATTGCCTTAGTCAATTGTCATCAATGACAAAACCTTTCCAAGTTATTGTACTGCCATGAAGAATGAAATAATAAAATGTCAAGTTAGTTTTATCCTCAAAATAAAATAAAAAATTTAAATTTAAATTAGCTTCTTATAATATATATCACTTTAATATTAGTTAGATTTTAAAATCTTGGAATGCAGAGAAAAAGATAAATAATTGATGGTAACAAAAGCACGATGGAATCAAGTATGACTGTCTCATTCTCACATTTATCCAAGGTGATTATCTATCTAATGCTGCTTTTAACAGGGTTGCAGGATGCTACAAATGTCCTGTGAGGAACATGATAAAGTAGCTGCCAAGAGCCAATTTATCACACACACTATAGGCAGGTGTGCAGCCCTCTACACATCTAATCAACCATGGAGAAACATATGTACTGATATACATGCTCACTAGGTAAAAATGTGGACTTCTTTTTTATCAGGACTTTGGCAGAAATGGATATTAAGTCCACACCTATCGATACAAAGGGCTTTCAGACACTTGTTCAATTGGTACACGTTCAATCAATTTGTTTTCCCCCCTTCTTCCTCCAAAAAGCTTTCCTTTCCTTTCATTTTTTGTTCGCAACTAGGCATGGCATTATCAATATGCGATTAATTGACAGAACACAATTTAATTGCAGAAGGACACCACCATCAGAGATAGTTTTGATCTGTATAGTGGATTATTCATACATAATAGATTCGCTAAACAAGAGGTATGGAACTACCAGCCAGATGACTATTTCCAAAAATATAGTATTCAAAACTGCTTGCTTACTTGTATTAGGAAAAAATCATTATTCACTCTATTGAAGCAGTAATACAAGTAAATGAAGATAAGACTTGGTGTTTTGCCAAATGTGCAGCTGGAAAACCTTGAACATGCCTTGCATAAAGTCAAAGAGATGCTTGTTCAAAGGATGAGTGAGCTGGGTCCAGAAAAGACTGAACGTTGATATGCATAATACTCCTGTTAACACTGGTTTATTCAAGAAATATGTTTATCATTTTCCTTTTCCAGTCCACCAACAAAAAATCTACAGTATTTTCAAAATCAGCCATTAATGGATCGAGCCATTCGGACAATGATATCTCAAAGGGACCAAGACACTTGTTACAATAAGTAGATTAACGCTTAATTATTTGTAATAAGTAAGTTCCATCATTCTTGCTTCCAACATATACCGGTAAATTCTGAAAGCTTCCGAAAAACTGACTTTTGGGTGGCCAAGATTAGTCTAAAACCATTTTAATCCCTGTTGGTTTCGTTTGACTGAATTAATTGTTTCTGGTCAGAACTCACCTCCCATATCCTTGCAAAAAATAAATAAATCACGCATCTAACCTCTAAGATCTTGACATGAATATCCTTCCGCTTAATGGTATCTACTATCTAAGCAGTGAGCATGCATTTCCTTTTCGTGATCGTACAAGCATAACCTCGAATTACTTGCGGAAAGTCACAGCATTCTACCCAAGTTTCATTACATCATAACGCTATGTAAAGATGGTCAAACTGTCTTCAAACTCTGTCGCAGCTCCTCCTTCTGCTGCATGGCTTTCCAAGCAGTCAAATCCACCACTGGTCGCTGCCGATTGCTTACAATCCGGCCAATGGAGTGGGCATTGATGACATTAGATATGTGTATGAATGCGGTAGACATTGTTTAAATGGCATCACATTGCCTAAGTCAGCACAACAGTTTGAATAATACAAGAAAAGACAAAGTAAAATGGAAATTTTAGAATTAATGACGTCCACCCTCCGACACCCATACAGAAATCTCACAAGTGCCTTCTAATGGTTATCGTAGGACAGAGCCTGGGCATGCTTAGCAAGGCAGCCTCTCATGCCATACTGTTTAATGTGGAGTTTATAAGTTTTCCTGCTGAGAGCGTAAAATCAAAGATCGCGGAGGTCTGGATTGCCTGTGGTAAAACTATCATCATCTAGTTCATAGATCTTGGATAAGCTCTTCACATTCATTTGTATTCTCCTTTTGGATATCAAAATGGCTTCTCATGGTTCAGCATCAAAACGAAATTAATTTATCATGATTTTTCACAATCTGCCCCCTCCATTATGAACTAAACTATCTGGTCATGGTGGATTGGATCAGTGATAGGTGCGGATGTGCATGTTTAGCTCTGGTATGGTATGTGCATGTTATCTATGTGCTCGGACATCATTCTGTCAACAATCTAGAACAACCTGATGGATTACTACAATTTTTGCTTAAGGCAACACAATTTACTTTTCCACAAATGCAAACAAAAAGTAATGTGAGCATATTATTTCGGTTCTGGTGCAAATATCTCCAAGCAAGTTGAACACATATCTGAGGCACAAAAGAAAGAAGCAAGCAAGCAGGCAAAAGAATGGCCTTTGGTTTGCCTCCCTTCTCCAATAAATAATAAAGGTATCTTGAAAGTTGAAATAGTTAATTAATGCAACTAGTGTACCAAATATGGTCTTCAACAAAGGACCCCTTGCTCAATAAGCACAAATCATTATTTCTGAATCTATTGCCAAATTTTTTTGCCATTATGTCTTATAAGCTATTTGCTGCAGAATCGAAAGAATAACTGGACTATAAATTATCGCATCTCAGCTCCCCACCAAATTAATGCCGCACGACTAATCATCAACAATAGGAAAGGCTAGCTCACTTGATATTATGGAATGACGGTAAGACAGCAATAAGAGGGTCTCCATAACCAACAGACTCTGAAAATTAAACAGCAAAAACAGTAAGAAATTCATCTCAGTTATGTATGTCCTCAAACTTACCCCATCAATTAGAGTAGCAGAACAATAAATTGAACTGCCAATCAGTGCCATAATAAGTTAAAATTGAATAATATTGCTCGAGTCTTTATAGTGAGCAGTAACTACTGCAACTGGACAGAACACAGAAAATCATGAAGAACCATGCTTAGACAGTGTAACAAAAATTAAATCAACATGACACTCGAGAGCTAGACCATAAGCTTCCAATTAGTCAATAATTAGAAAATCAATGAAAATTTATACCACCAATAGCCATATACTGTAAATTCCAATGAAGCACATTAATCTTCAAGATCATGTGACTTATCATCATTTAAAGGGTGCAAACCAAAGAAACAGACATTCCAGTTGAAAGAGTTTAGGCCTTTGGTACACCCACATTTTCAGCTATGAAGCACCGATACTCCGAGTTTTTTTTTCCAACGTATCGGATACACGTATCGGAAACGTATCGAAAACGTATTGTATCGTATCGATGAATTAATGGTCGTATCGAGAACGTATTAGGAACGTATCGAAAGCGCCGTGTCAGAGTCAGTGCTTCATAGATTTTCAGAATAGTATGTAAGATACACTAGTATATCTGATGTGACGTATTTCAAGATCTTCATGACTATCCTGTGACTTTTCATCATTTAACGAATGCAAACCAAGGATCAGACAACCAATGAAATGAGTTTAGGCGTTTGTACACCCGTATTTTTATACTAGAACGAAAGAAATGCTAATGTCTTTGACGCTGGGGAGTGCAAGATCCCCTGGTTTGGTTGGACTTTCTTTTTGGGTACTAGGACCTACTAGGCCTAGGGTATCCCCATTTGGGGGCAAGGGAGAGGAGAAAAAGGAAGGGGATGTTCCATCAGGGGGTGTTGAACCCCTCATCAGGAACTTGCAAGCATATGTCCCAATCAAGTTAGCTAGGCTCATGGAGGACAATCATAATTCTTTCAATTATACATGGACTATGAAAGTCATGGATGTACTTGCCTTCCGACAAATCATTTTTTTCCAGTCTTAATCTATCACTTTTTTCACATTTAATTACTGGAAGCACACTTCTACCAATCTTATTTGAGAAACCTCATGTTACTTGACTCCAATATCAAACAATTCGATTCATTTCCAGGTCATAGACATTATACCTCCATCCTGAATCAGTAGCTTCAGCACTTCTCCAGCCACATCTGACTGCAAGATCTCAAAATAAAACCAGTCAAGAGAAGTAGATATATAGTAAGGACCCAAAATAGAAAAAAAAAAAAAAAAAAAAAAAAAAAAAAACAAACAAACAAACTGGCAAAAATCACCTTAACAGGAAGTGAAGTGCCAAATTGATCCAAATACCCTATAACTTGCCCTGCTTTGATGACATCGCCCTGTGTATTTTAAAATTGAAAACAGACAATTGAGTTTATGCAAAAGTGCTACAAACTGAATAGGAAATGAAGACTGTGAAAGTGATTTTGATGCACTTGCAGTTGACTCATTGCACATGGTCCAACCATTGATTCAAGAAGCCCAGAGTTAACCACCAAAATTGTGACCCAATAAGTATGGCTCAATTGTTGAAAGAAAAAGTGATTTGAAATATAATAAATTACGATCAAATTCAAGTCCCAATAAATATAATTGTGATTTGTTTGGCAAGAAAAGAAAAGGAACACATTTAGCGTAATTTGAGATCTATGAATTGGGACGTGTTATGAATGATTTAATTATAATTATTTATTTATTTTTAGAAGTTAATTACTGTTATATTTATTTTAAGAAGTTTTATTATTTTTAAGATTTTAGATTTTAGATTTTTGAATTTTGAATTTTAGATCAATTTGTAATTAGTTTATAAAAGAGTGTTTATGACCCTTATTCTAGGAGTTGAATTTTGTTATTTTGTTAATAGAAATTGAGAACAGAGGGATAGTCTTTTACTCTTCTAGTGAATCCCGACTTTCTGTTTATCCACTTTTCTAGGCGCTTTCGACATCAGATTTGTTGTAAGTTCAATGGAAGTGAGATCCACAAACAACTTGACACGGCATCTCAAGGATACTACCTAAATTAGAATTTTCTTAATAAGTACTAGTTATTTTCTTGAATTAATTAGAATTTTAAAAACCTCTACTTTTCTTAATAATACAGTAATTCCTAAATAATACAACAATCCTTCAATACACTTTTCTGTTCTACATCATTCTTCACTTTTAGAAGAAATCGCAGTTACACATATTTGTACACATCTAAAGAGGTTTATCCAAAAGAACGTTGTATATCCTCATTACCAATTGATGAAGAACCATACTTGGAGTTTGTGACGGAGACGAAAACTGCTAAAGTGAACAAAGTGTAATAGCAAGGTCGCAAGCTAAAGGGGTGAACAGATCAAACTTTACCACAATCCAAAAAATACTTCTCTTGGCAGGATACTCCCCTAACTAATAAACGGTAACCAAAAGTACTCCCCTTGACAGGATAATCTCCTAATAAACAAATCTAGACTCTAGAGTGCTCCTCTGACTCAAGTTTTTAGACACTTTCTGAATAAGAGAAATATGAATAATCAATTATGCAAAAGTTTGAATAGCACAAGGCACCTAAAGTGTATTTATAACCCGAGAAAAATAAAATCCTAATTAAATATAAAATCCCTAAAATAATGAACGGTCTCTTAAAGAGGAGGAAATTCTAAAATTCTAACAATAAGATAATAATTCCTAAATAACACAATAATCCTTCTATACGCTTCATTCTAAATCATGTGATCAAGGTCATAACAAGCTGATGGCCTAGAAACATCACAATGGGGAATGGACAATGGCACACGTCAAATATACCTCTTTACAGATAGGAGGTTGCTTCTTCCCTTTCACTGTTCTACCTCTTCGGAATGAACCAACCTGGAAAGAGATCAAGAAAGAAAAAAGTGATTGCAAACTCTACATAGCTCAAGTGAAAGATAGTAAATTAGTGAAAGCCGAGCTCAATGATTATAATTATGAGTAAATACCTCTTTTGGTCCTCAGCAAATTTCACGATGCTCGCTTTAGTCCCTAGCAAATAAAAAGGCCCATCGTGGTCCTAAGAAATTCAAAATGGACCTATTTAGTTGAAATCGTGGTCCCTCACAAATTCAGAAAAGACCCATATTAGTCCCTCAAAAGGATTAAAATGGGTCCATTTTGAATTTTTTAGGGACCACGACGGACTTTTTTATTTGCTAGGGACTAAAGCGGACATCGTGAAATTTGCTGAGGACCAAAAAGGTATTTACTCTATAATTATATATGGCATACCGTAGGAGATGTCACTAAGACATAGGTATTGGTACTAGAAGCTTCCAACGCTGCCAACTTTGATGACTTCTCTACAGAAACATTTTCAAATGGATTGGCCTTTTTAGGAGATGATTTCGGTGGTGATGGTAGTGGGTTAGAACGCGCTGATTCAACCATAGGCTTATTTGGGACAGGCAGCGGTGTAGTTGGGGAAATGTTGGACACAGGAGCTTTTGCTACTCCAATGTTTCGCTTCATATGCATCTCAAACTCTCCTACCTATCACAACAAAAGTCAAATAAAGTCATTTACAAGATCTGAATATAGAACAAGCTAAAATAATGTTTCTTTTGATGGACCAGGAATGAATAAAAGATTTATAGTTGGATCTAAGTTGTTAAATACAATGTTGTATCAACTATTAAACTATAAATTTGTTTACAATCACCGTAAAGAACCAATTCAACCTAAAACCTTAAACTATCATGTGAAAGTCACATTAATGGTGTTATATTATCTTTCTAATACGCTGCCTCACACAAAAGTTCTCTAGGGGCTTGAAGGGTGGACAATGCACAGAAACTCGACAAATTTAATTATTTTTATTAATAGAATGAGGGTCAAAGAGGATCAAACTCGTTACTACTTGGTCACGAAGGCTCTAATGCCATGTAAAGAATAAATTCAACTTAAAAGCTTAAGCTGTTAGGTGAAGACCATATTAATGGTTTTATATTATCTCTCTAACTATTGCAACTCAAATTTCATGAAAAAAGAAAAGGAAAATATGATATATTCAGATATGATGTAGTGCCCAAAAGGACCACCATCTCAAGCTTGAATTACAATGTGCTAAAATGAACAAAAGCACCATTATCATTACTTAACATTTGCTATGACACATCTTGAGTAAATCATATTTATTGCATTTACTAAAGTTTTGTCATAGACAGCACAAGGGCCATACACATCTGGTCAGCAACTTTTTTTTAAGAATTCCAGGAGATTACATGTTTTCAGAAGAAACTAACCAATTATACACATAAAAGGGAAATGTGGAAACCATGCAATCTCTATAGCTCCATTCTTATAAGCATACACCGAAGTTTTTTTTTCACCCTTTTATTATACCTTAAAGTGTATTTCAACTATTACAAAAGCAGAAAACAAGAGACTAGAAGGTCACCTTTACTTTCATTTCCGCGATTTGAGTCTCATCGCACACCTCTAATACCAAAGCCTGCTCATAAGCAAACCAGACATTGTCCAAGTCAGGGGAAAAAGAGTTCAAAAGATATAATAGATGGTGAGTACTATCATTGTAAAACAGAAGGTCTTTAAGATGTAAAAAAGATATTCCAGGCAGCATAACTTTGTCCTATAGAATGGTGAAAGAAGAATCAATATTATGGCCCAAGCATGTTTATAGTGCTGAAAACTTGTAGGGGGTTATCAGATATTCAGATTCACATTGGAAAATGGCTGTTACTAAATGCAATTCTGTAAGCTTACTTATGTGTTTTGATTTGAAGGCATACTATTCCTAATTATCACCATCATTTATCAAGAGGAAGGATAGCAGTAGACCTCAAATCCATTAGGAAATATAGCAGTTCGCAAAGGCTTTTTCTCCAAAGAAACTGCAGCATCATAACCAAGTTGTCAGGTCTTATAAGAGTGCTAGGTGAAAAAACTACTCGATCAGACAGCTTTTTTGGAGTTCGGATTACAGATGTATAACATGTAACTCCAAACAACATTTCTCACTTAGCATAATAATTTTCATTAGCCACAGAAATAGAATTGTTGCCTAATTTTAAGCATTCAAGTAATTACTATAATTATTTAAAATGAAGCACAGAAACAACAAGAAATCACACATAGCCTTTGTAAGTCAACTTATTCACATAGCATTGGTAGAAGTTTAAATTTTCAAATTTGACAATAGTCAAAGACAATACTTTCTTCTTCTTCTTTTTTCTTTCTAATAAATATAGAGGGTGATATAATCTTCGTTTAATGTATACTCAAATAGACCTGTTGACCAAAACTTCTACAATGATTAATGTATTTCAAAACTTTATAAAAAATCAATGATATGAAAGTTAGAACTCAAATAACAATTATAATAATAATAAAGAATAAGGTAGCTCACTCAACCAACAGAAAGAAAGAACAAAAACATAAGTACATAATTCATTTCAAAATCAAAACAACCCACCCTCACACTTGGTGATGTCAATAGCCTCAGCTGTTTTTGCATATGACACTAGTGTTCGCTTCCATATGGTGTGAGAATTAATGCGCTTCTCACCAATTGCTAAGCTCTTGATGAAAAGCCTACTTTGAGAGCTCCGTCCGATATTGTGGATGGGAATTATACCTGGCTTCTGAATTGAGGATTGCATAATTGACATTGTGCCTATGGGATATAAAGTCAAAAAGTAATTTTAAGCATTGGATTACAATGGTTTTCAATACGGTCATAAAAGCATATGGTGATAACAATAATGAATGCACGAATACACGCAAATGCGTGTGTCCATAGTCAATGTTACAACAGAGAAACAAACACCTACTAATGACAGTAATTTAACAAAAATATCACATTCAGAAAATTAGACATTATGGAAAAGAAGCAACAAATATCTTATTGAACTAAAATTGAAAGGTGTTATAAAAATTGACCCTTTAAGCAATCCCCAAATTTTTTATTATAAAAACCATAATCTTGGATCAAAAAGAAAGGTATTAACCTATTTCACTAAGTCAGTAAAACTGTGAAAAAAATAAAATAAAAAAATTTAATATGTGACATAAGTAAACTACAAAAAGAGTAAAGTCACTAACTCGATGTGATTTTTTTTTTTTTTAATGGTTTCGATGTGATTATTTGCTCTTCAACTCATACTCATAAGTAAACAGTTAATTTAAACTCTGTATATTACAGCAATAATGAACCACTCATGTGAGCTAAATCAGAGAGTACCTGCATTTCTTAGCAATATTATTTTTTTCCTTTCTCGCTAAGACGAATAAAATCAGCAGTCTTTAAAAAAATATATATATATTCAGCAGAATGTCCAGCATTTAATCCAAAATCGATTTACATTATATGTTTGTATAAATCACGAGGTTTCGAACATATACATAACGTGAAAGAGCATAAATGCAGCCATGAGATGTTCGCGATTTAAAATCTCAGAAACATCTAAAGCAAGAAGCCGTTACGCCTCAGAGAAAATGAAGTTGCAACGACATTGCAACAAAACCCCATGCTTATAATCTGAAATATTTTCGTTTCTAAAAAAAAATAAAACATGAAAAGCAACACAACGAGATCAGAGATAAAAAAAACACGGAAGCAGAATTCGCATTCAGCTGAACACATTATTCACAATGCACACACAAATAGAGAGACAGAGACAGATACAGCGAAAGGATCGAATGGCAGCGGTGGAATCCATGGAATGAATTGAAATTTGCAGAGAATTGGAATTGCAACTTATAGGGAACGAATTAACGTAATGTTGTTGCGATGCTTCGAAATACAATGCCTTCTCTCGTCAGTCGTCACTTCCTCTTTCGTAGCTTCTTCTCTCTAACATGCGCCGGGGTGTAATAATAATAGTCCCTCGTCTTACGTGGACTTGTGCTTGGTTGTTATTTCCTACGCGACGCCGTAGGCTTCTAAGATGCTCATGGCCACGTGGAGATCTTTTGAACCACTGGATATAGCTAAACTATTTGTTAGTATTTTTCTATTTCTAGTATGTTTTATATGAGTTAGTTAGTCTTTGAGTGCAAAATTCTGGGTCTTCGTAATTTATTTTGGATATACTGTCCCCGTTTGTAAAATTATTTTATATTATTATTCTAATTTTATGTTAGATATATTATTTACATAGTATATTAACACATGAGATGTTAAATTTATTGAATAATTATGTATCAAAAGAGAATTTAGGAATTTTAAGAGTTCAAAAAAAAAAAAAAATTGCTTTGTAGTTTGTAGTTTGTAGTATTAAAGGCTTGTCACATTAGGTCTAGCATTGGAAAGTAGGAGAAAACGATTTCCGACTGTAGCACACATTTAGTGATACGGAGTAAAAGTTAGCAAAAACTCATTATATTATGAGAAAATTTCAATTTTTTTTCCCTCCAACTTAAAAAATGCGCAACACAGTTCATGACTTTCTAAAGTTGTGTCTTCAGTTATTCTGTCTAATTTTCAATCAAACATCCATGAAAATTGTGAGACTTAAATGATGTGACCTTTTTTTTTTGTATCAAATGTCTCGATATGAAAAGTTCCAATTAACACATCCAACTTAGTTCCAAGCGCATTTTTTGTCCCTAAAAATTATCCGCGAGTTTAACGGAAATTGTCACGCTCTAATCATGTAACTGTTTTTGGTACCATTTTTTTTGTGTGTAACCATTCGGATCGGAATGGTTACATGAATCATCATCATCAACTAGCTAGAATACATATGGGAAAAGTATATAAAACAAACCACTATTATTTCACTCCATCATTTTCTTAACAATTACAATTACTTGTTCAATATGCAAAAATAATAATAATAATAATAATAATAATATTTATTTATAAAACATGACCAAGATGATTTCATTTCTATCTTGCAAGTGAGGAAGCGAGAAGATGATATTAATTTTGCATCGCCGTTAAGCTAAGCAATGTTGAGGTGGACTATTTCCCTGAACTCCAACCTCCTTGTTTCATGGTAGAATGTCTTGTGCTTGTTAGGCAAATATGTCAACCATATCCAACCCCTTATCTCCCATTCCATTTTCTTCCCTATGGCACCTTTATCTACTTTCCAGCACACGCTTCCTCCATATTCATCACCCGCGAAAATAACCCCTCCTTGCCTTGTGAAAGGACGATAAGCACTTGAGTACCTGTCTTTGAACCATGACTTTGGGTTAATCAATGAAATCTTTGAAGGCTTGGACGAGAACACTTCCTTGCCATCCATGCTATCATGAAGAAACCAATTCAAATTTGCACTATACCCATAAACGGATTCCTCAAATTTCCAGGGCTTTAAACTCATGGTTGTGGACTCTCCAACTGATACATTAAGTCCCAAGTAGGGATTAGGTGGCTCAAATGAAGCTTCTATACTTTTTTCCATACCAATCTCTATTCGTGGGTTCTCCGAGGATTTGCCAACTGATACGCTCAACACTTGATTTTGAAGGGTAGGGGTAAGTTGCAATGATATTCTTGAAGGAAAATATTTTTCAGCTGCACCAGCTCCTCTTTCTCTCATTAGAGTTTCATCTACCAGTTTGAAAACATCACATCTGTCGACAGAAATGTAAATATTAAATTAATTGAACATGATAAAAAAAAAAATCACTTCCATATACAGATATAAAGCAAATAATAGTAACTGTTTCTTTTTTTTTATAGGCTAATGATTAACTATTTTTTTCCTTTGCTTAAGATGATTAATTGGTCTTACATGTTATTATTCTCTTTTAATTGGATATATAATATTCTTAATTACCTTATGTTGTCAATGTTGACCATGATTTCAACCCACTTCTCTTTGATTATGACTTTGTGATTGAACTGAAGAACACCTTCAAGTTGTTGATATTTGAGAGAGAATTGAAGTCTCTCATCAGCAGGATGGTTGTTTGCATTCTCAAGATCCATGCTTATGACAGGACAGTATAATTGAACTTTCCACAATCCGTATGCAGAGAAAGCATAAGAAAATAGAGGAGATGGTGATCTGAAGGTGCTGTGATGTGCTTCTTGGAGTTCCACAATCCAATTTGTAATTGCAAGGTTTATAGAACGCATCCAGAGCTCTTCCAAGTTAGAACCCAAGAGCTTCATCAGCAACTTTGATGCTTGTCTTGATTGACAGCCTGCCAAGTGATCTTTCAAAATGTTAAGACATCGAGAACGAAGATCAGCAGGGGCTTCATATATGCAAACTAGGAAGAAGAGAGTGAGGAAAGCAAGATTGAAAATGTCTGGAAAGTTGGAAATAGAATCAAGTTTGGGAATTTTGATGAAGGGACTATTCTTGTTTGAGCCATAATGAAGGATGTCTTCTATGAAATTAACGAGGAGATCATAAATGGTTTCTTCATCAATTAACTTCATGGTTTTATGGCTAGGATTGAAAGGTTTTGAGGTCCAAAGAGAGATAGGGATATTAAAGTCTGCGACAATGGCAAAAGAGAGTTTAGAGGATTGATTATTTTTTGCTATGGTGAAGTTAAGAGATGGTTGGGATGAGTTTAAAGAACATATGCTCAGGGACATGGAACCTGTTTTCCATTTTGAGATTGGTGGAAGGTTCTGAATCCAGCAAAACACATCAGGAAATCTGCAATAAGCCATGGCAGAACCTTAACTTCGACTCTCTGTATGGGTGCTATGGAGTGGGGCTTCACATATTTGGAGACTCCATTTAACAGATGAAAAAGCAAAGATTCTTGTTGGGCAAGAAAAGTCAAAAGTAGTGCATATGATTAGTACGAAGATTGGCACCTGGAAGAAGCAAAGATGGTTAATTGTACAAGAGAACAACTGGGTTTTTGTGTTCCATGATTTCCATGTACATGTGCTAATTGTCTAAAATGCATGGCTTTAGCATACCTACAAAAGCAATAATAAAAACAATAAAGGGGTAATCAATTTACAGATTTGGGTGAGTGTATATGACCTTCATTGACTTTATCATGTGAGTGGGGGTACATTATGGTAAAATAAAATAAAAGAGAGAGAGGGGATCAGTCATAGCATTTGTAATAAGGATATTCGATTCTTTACCTACAAGCATGAAAATCGTAGTTAAATTGATAGTGCTTAAGTAACGAATATATAGTCTATATTAGGAAGAAGATTTGAGTTGAAATGCAGATTCGTATGCGATGCAATGTTTGTTACTAACAGTGCAAACTCGTAAATTGTTTACTGTGTTAACATCTTCCCTTTTCTCGCGTGGTAATTGGTCATAGAGTGGAGAATCATGAGGGACGACCCTACCAAGGTAAATTGTAAGTGTATGTCACTTCTCACTATTTTATTGAGACAAATCGGGGTATTACATATATACTGCAGCTGCCACTAGGAAAAACTATATAACTGATAATATTTTATATTAATATAATTAATGATTATTAGTTTATCTTAATTTAAGCAAATATTAACTTACTTCTGATCAGATTATCAGTATCATGATATGAAGTTGTGTTTGGATTAAACAAATGTATTGGATCGATGACGCTCTTCACTCCAATGTGCTGAGTTTGAATCTCATCTGTTGCAAAAAATATTTACCCAAGTGTGTGCCTCATTTGGTAGTATTGGGACTAAGTGGTGGAAGAGGACCTCGGTTCGAATTCCACCAACATCATCTGGAGAGGAACATAAGTACCGTAATCTTTGGACTCGCACCCGAAGTCTGGATTAGTCCCATAGGCGGCTCAAAGAGTCGAACCCGTGGGGATACCAGGGGTTCTGATTCGCCTCAAAGAGATAATTAGGACCAGTTTTCAAAAAAAAACAAATGTATTGGATCGCTAAGGCCATTGCTTTGTCTCTTTTTTTATATATAAACCTTATTAGCTCTAAATCTTAATAAACATAACATTCTTGAAATTCAATCTTCATCAAGTGGAGGAGAATTTCATGGGATTTTTCACATTTTTTTTATGAAACAAAAGTGACCAACTTTAGATTAAATAGACATCGACAAAGGTGGGTTTTTGATCGATTAACTCTTACAATTATATTATATTTTACAAATGTTTTTTTGTGGTGTTTATTTTTTTTTAATTATCATTATCTGTTATTTCCTTAAAATTTTAGTTGATTCACCAAAGCTTTATTTTTGAAGTGGAAGTAAAAATTGAATCATGATCATGATTTTTAAAATAAAAAATAAAAAAATTGGAAAATATCATGGTTCCGTCACTGAATCGCTTAGAGGTTTATCTCAACGAATTCGAGCTGTATTATATATTTTGCTCTCTATATTACTATGATGGAAAGAAGTAAAGAACTCCTGTATTCTGTAACCTACCTAACTAAACTCTAATGCATATAGAAAACTTTAGAGGAGAGAGACTGCGAAACAAGGAAAATAGTCAATTATTTTCAATTATGTGCATAAAGGAATTTCTATAGATGAAAAAGCTAAAAGATGTATTCTGTTTGATGAGGAATATATATGGACCGGAGATATAACGGTTTGGAATATAAGAATATTATCGCGCTTAGACAAGCAATTCAGCCCAATAGAACAGAACATGGATAAGATTTGACCATGATCAATGATGTGAACTATGCCAACTCATTTGTTAATGAATTTAACTTTATTTTACTGTTAGTATAAAACTTTTTTGTATTATTATTTAATTATTTGTAGTCATAGTATTTAATTTATGATAAGATAAATAGATTGGCTTATTAATAAATGAATATGTCTTGTGTGAATAGACATATATAATTACAGGTTGAAATCTTAATTATGCCAAAAACTCAGGACAAGCATTTGTTTTTAAATTCACTAGTTTCAGCGACCAAATTGGATAATTTTTTATCGGACCATAAATGTAGATTAATTCAAGTGTGTATATATTAACTGAGACGCTATCTAATTAAAATAAAAAATGTTATGATAATAGTTATTTAAAAAATCAAATTCTTTTAATAATGCCCCATCCATAATATTAAATAATTATGTAAATTAGTTTTACACAAAAATAACTAAAAGGTGAACTCTTAACTCTTCAATACACTATACTCACCAGGTACTTAAAAGACACATTATAATTACTACTTAGGTAAAAAAGTTCACGCTTTTAGATTAAAATAATAATTTTTAAAAATAATTTACCAAAATAATGGACATATGCAAGATATACACGTGACTTTTAATAAAAAAAATTGCGTATTCCAACAACTAGTGTAAAGCTAATTAAGGTGAATTTGAACCTTGCGCACATGCAACGGTTAATATAATAAATTAATTGATATATTGTTATTTAAAAATTAATTATTGTAATAAATTATATGCTTTTAAATTCATGTTTTATTTATTTCATTTTAATTCTGTTATTATTAACATTAATTATTTTTTATGACCCTTTTTTTTAAGCTGATGCTTTTATTATTTATAATAGGAAAAATAATATATAACCAAACTTTTGATATTTTTAGGAATTGGTACTATGTATTTTTAAAATATTTTCATTTATTCTCTCAAGTAAAACTACTTCACTGATCCTTCTTTTACTCTAATTAATGTTAAACTACTCAAAGGACTTCTGTCGTGGTACAATTTTAACTCTTCATTTGAATATTTTTTGGTTTAATGTTAATTTTAATAATTATATTTTTGGGGCCTAATCCTATTTTATTCATTTTTCTATTTTCACTAATTAATGTATATGATTATTAAATTCATATTACAAATTAATGAATATTTATGCTAATAATGATTGATAGATATAATATAAATTATAAATCAAATAATCAATTTTTTTAATAATATAAAAAACATTATTTAATTTAATATATACTTTATTTTGAATCGTTATATGTTTTATAATCGTTATCTATTATATTATATTTATTTATTTATTAAGAATTAAAATATGTATGAAATAAATCCATTAATAACTGGATGAGAGGATCAATTGGTAGAACAATCATAGTTTACAAGTTAAATAAAAATATTTAATATTTTATGGTACCAAATTACAAAAACTAAAACTTCAAGGTGATTATTTATTCTTTTGTTTACTATAAAAAAGAAAAGTACCCAAATAAAAAAAAGCACATGTCATAAAAAATAATTAATGAATTAAAAACATAATTATAATAACATATCATTAAACATAATAATTAATTATTAATAATATATCAATTAATTTATTAATTGAACTGCTGCGTATGAGTGCATGAAAATGACACAATTTCATGTTATCCGTTATGTGAAATTACGTTTGCACACATAACGACTTGGTTAGAAACAAATGTGTTTTTATATGATTTTAATAAATTGTTGTTAGTGTACCGAAAAATTGTGTTGCATTGGTAAACAGCCCAAGAAGCATCAGATGCTATGTATATTGTTGACTTTAATTTCTCTTTAAAGCTAGAAAGCAACCTATCATAAATGCTTCGATTCCTGCTTTGCTGCCTAATCCACCATCGTATTTGTATCGGTAAACCTAACATGTTCAAAATATTCCCACTTTGAAAATAGTGTTATTGTTGTTGTATACACAAGGAACTACTTTGTTACGATACCTGGCTATGATTTAGGCGCATTGACTTGTTGACGTTAACAAATTCGGACATTATCTTAAACTTGTGCCAAATGGATATTGAACGGGTTTATGTTGGTTTTCCTTCGAACATTTTTATGTGATTTTTTTTTAAGATTTGTATGTTTGAACAGTTATTCAATGTAATAAAAAAAATACATTTTTTAGAAATGAAAAAACCTAGTTTAAAAAAAATAAAACGTGCTTTATATTTATAGTTCCCGGGTTTAAGGAAATAATTCAAACAGACTAAAATCGCTTATTTAAGAATTATTAAAAAAATGGAAACGAGCATTGCAAGATACTTTTTCATAGACAAGGTGCGAAAATAAATGGCCAACCTATACGGGGTTTCATAGAGTCGCCTCCACGTATTCGAAATGGGAAAAACCTCGCATTGGTACGAGAGATATTTTTTTTATTGAAAAAAAAATATTGTTAAAGATTCGGTAAAAAAAATTTTATTCCGGATAAATTATGAAAAAATGTTTGATTAATGATAAAATATTGATGAAAATATAAATCAAAATAATCAAAATACTCATGCAATCATATAGTTCAGCAAGATATTTTTGTCTCAAAATGTTATATTCAAAATCTGAGAGAATAAAAAAAATATATCATATCCTAGGTGGGATAATTTTTTAGCTTTGTGTAATTCAAAAGAGATATGCTTGGGGGAAAAAATTGCTGACATTTTATTCACATTTCTTATACTAAATATGATAAATAAATATTCCCTACTTCACTTTCTCTTCGTTCCAACTAAATATTCCCATCATTGTCAATGGGCTATAGCCCATAGACGCACCTAAATTCAACAATCTTTTCATTTTTCTTAAAAAGATGCGTTATCGTACTCTAGAAAAAAAACAAAATATTAACTTTATGCAAGATTCACTAGTCTTGCACATAAGTAGTTTGGGCCTTATGTCTCTCATAGCATGTGTGTGTGTTTAAGGTTCTCTAAATCGAAAGAGCAAAACTGTAATCTACAAAAGGATATCGACCAATTCAATGGGCTTATGGATTTACCAAACCCAAAAATAATTGGCACAATAAATTTTGGGATACGCTTGAGATTGTGTTTGGACATTTGAGAGGTGCCTAAACGTTATCACTTATCACGAAAAATGAAACAAAAATGGAGAGTCCTGTTTTTGGTTTTGTGTTGAGGAGTAATATTAATATTTTAACCAATGAACCTTCAAAGCAACTGTTTTGTTTTTTTAGTAAATTTTTGTAAGCAACTGGTATAAGGCTAATGATTAGATGATTTGAAACTTTGTTAGAATATAAGTTTGAACTCCACTATCATTATTGTACAAAAAAACCAACCAACCTTTTTAGATTTTTTTTTTTTTTAAATTATGGCAAAATGGTGTTTGAAATTAGAGATTCCACTCAAATATTTTTATAATCTTTGGAATTAGAGGATTTCACACAAATATTTTCTATACTCTAAACTTGAGTGATTTATATAATTAAAAAATTTAAACTTGTAATGGTGTACCTACTTACATGTCAAATGAACATGGACTTTTAAACTAGTTATACAAGATTAATTCTTTTAAATTTATGGGAAAATATTCGTTTACAAATTTTTTTTTATAAATTTTTACAAATTATACTATGTATTCTCGGAAATACATAATGTAACCTAGTGTACTTCCAGAGGTACATAGTATAGTTTGTAAATAAAAAATTTGTAAATATAACTCTCCAATAAATTTATTGTCCACATTATATTATTTTTATATAAAATTATTTTTGACACTACAAAAACAAAGTAGAAAATCTTCTTTATCTGAGCATATTTATTAAATTAGAATATATTATCTTAAAAAGTGTTTTAGTTTTTGTGTTTATTTTCCTTCATTAAATGACAAATATCATATTTATTTTCCTTCGTTAAATGACAAATATCATATTTTTTCTTTTAAATTTTAAATTTTAAAGAAACATAATTATGCATATGTTTTTTATAATTTTCAAATAACATAGGTTTTGGGTTCATCTAACATATGATTTGGAGTAATTAAAAAATTAGATAAAAGAAACATACAAGATACAAATAAAACAAATTTACGCAATTAATCAAAGGGGCTTATTCTCAAAAGTCCCCAAACGAAGTATTTAACTATAACGGTCTAAAATAAATTCTCGAAATTATAAAAATAGGAAAAAAGTATCTAATATTACTTTAGACAACTTTGTCTAATGTTCATCGAAACGACATCAGTTTTGGATTGAAAAATTAAAAAATTAGAATGATAAAGATTATTATAACCATGAAATAAATTAAAATTACAAAAACATCATGATTTTCGTCCCAAAATAACGTTGTTTCGATAAATATTAGATAAAGTTATCTAAGTAATTTTAGAAAAAACAAACTCATAAAAATATTATGACATTATGTAAAATATAAATTTAAGTAAAAACATGTTAAAAAATTTCTTCTATTTTTTGAAAAGTTTTGAGTCCTAAAACGTTATCCTAAATCTAATTTTTAAAACACAAACTTGACGCAAAACAACACGAATTTGAATTTTTTTTTTTTTAAACAGTATGTGATGCTCAACTTTTAGCTGCTTATAATTTTTTTAAACTTTCCCCTTTATTTTTTAATTTCTCAGTAAAAATTATATATTTTTTTAAAGGGTTATGTGTGTATACTTTTAAAGAATTTAAGTTATGTCCTTTTAATTTTTACTCTATGTACTCCCGGTAGTATATAGTTAAAACATGAAAAATTATTTTTTTTGACTTTCCACGTCAGCTGATATGACTGAGGAGAGAAAAAAAAAATCTTTCATGTTATAATTATGTACTATCAGAATTAAATTAAGTAAAAAAATTAAAAAAATACAATCACAAATAATTTTCTCTTTTTTAAATCCACAATTTCCTGTAAAAAAAGTTAAAATAAAATGGGTGGCTGCCCTTCAATTTATTACACATCTATCATTATTTAGCATATTATTTTAAAAAAATGTTATTCACAATTTTTTTATTCCAATACTTTTTCTTTTCTTTTCGTTTTCTGTAAATAATTTCAGCCCATCCCATATATTAGCAAATGCATTTTATAGCAATCAACCACCATATAGAAACATCACCCTCACCCTCAGCCTCTAAACTCTAAAGGCCCACTTAGGACTCTCCATTGCCTCGTGTATCTGTTCTTCCGTAGCCACGCGCGGCAATTGGAGATTCACGCGCCACCATGTCTTCTCCACCGACTCTCCCCATTTCTAGCTCCCAATCCAACAGCGCCGCCGCCGGATCTCACTCTCAGCCGTCGATCTCCGCGCCGGCCTTCCGTGCCTTCATCTCGCGCATGTCCTCCTCCCTCCGCTACGGTTTCTCCCAGCGCCGCCCGTGGTCGGAGCTCATTGACCGGACCTCCATGTCCCGGCCAGAAAACCTCACCGAAGCGTACTCTCGGATCCGCAAGAACTTCTCGTACTTCCGCGTGAACTACCTAACCCTAATCGCTTTCGCACTTGTCGTGTCTCTGATCACTCATCCTTTCTCGCTTCTCGTCCTCTTCGGCCTCCTCGCATCATGGTCCTTCCTCTACCTCTTCCGTCCCTCCGATCAGCCACTCGTCCTTTTCGGCCGAACCTTCGCTGATCGCGAAACCCTAGGGATCCTGGGGGTGCTCACGGTGTTCGTCGTCTTCCTCACTAGTGTCGGATCGCTGTTGATCTCCGCTTTGATGGTTGGTTTGGCGATCGTGTGCGCCCACGGTGCTTTTCGAGTCCCTGAGGATTTGTTTCTTGACGATCAAGAGCCGAATAGTGCTGGATTCCTCTCGTTCCTCGGAGGAGCCGCCTCTTCTGCCGCAGCGGCCGCTGCGCCGTCTGTCTCGCGCGTGTAAACGGCTGGATCTGGACGACCTCTGTGTCCTATGGATTGTTCTGAGGTTGGTTCGACGTATCTTCTTGTATTTTGCTGAATTGAAATTGTTACGAGATTCTTTGGCTTTAGAGATCCAAAGCAAATTGCTTAGGGTTTGGTACTGTAATATCTGTATACCTAGAGATTATTGTGCTCTCAATTGATGCAGTTTAGTCATCAAATTTTTGTTCTGCAACTACTCGTCATTCTTGCTATATTTGAATGTGCATTTTTTATTTCGCGTTCATACTTATCCATTTTTATTGTTGGATCAGAACCAGAGATTCAGAAAATCAGGCATGTTTTTTAATTTTTCATACACGATAGACTCCCGTGAAATGTGCCCTGTTTTGCTGTCAATTGTAGTTATATATGGCATTCTTGTTCTAATTGACATGTCCAGAAAATTTATCGAAGGATACCTTCTATCGCTCTGAATTCTGATTACAATATAGGTGAACCGGGGTTAGAAAGGTGGGGCTTTCGGTTGTAGGAAGAAATTATGATTTTTATTTTTGGATTGTAAGTGTAGTAAAGCCCCCGTTAAACAAGGAAAATTAAATGGCTTCTTGTGTGTATATAGATTCACTTCTTAGTGGAGGGGTTCTTTTGGATGCAATGGCTGTATGAGTTTGTTGCATTAATAAATTCAGGGGGTTGGCAGCTTGGGCTAGTTTTGTCTGTATTTTCAATGATGTTAAGACAACCGGTAATGGTTCTCTGTTTTTTGCCTGCATGTCTGTAAGAGTCTAAAACGGTAACATGTTTTGGTGGTCTGTGATTTTGCTTTTGAGGTTTGTAGTCGCCTGTGGCCACCGAAGTCATGTTACAACTTATAGGAGAATGGGAAATTAGGTTGTGGGGCCTTTTGAATTCTAAGTTGGATGACTTGTAGACTTACTATTGTCCTGCAGAGCCAGAAGCCTTGGTTAGAAATATCATTTTATTGGTGTTCTTTTTCCGTAATATTCAGGATAACATACCCATAATCTTAGTTTGTTAAGAGTGTTTGGCATCTTTTTGGAGGTTAGAATCTTCTCATTTTCACTTTTCCAATTACTGCTTCTTAATTCTAACATCTTCATTACTTCGTTTTTTATCTGTGCATGTTATCAGACTTCTAATTAATTATAATGAAGCACTTCAAGATATAAAATTTAGTATCTTTGAAGAGCAGTTTTTATTCATGACTTTCGTGTTGTATGAGGTTGCATCGTCATATTTTTGCCGATAAAGACACTGTTAGATCATTGCTGGAGTGTATTGCGTACATATTTATATTTTAAAGCTTTATTGTGTATTAGTATGTTATGCCGTCAAGAACAACAGAGATGGTAAAGTATGACAATTAGTATCAGAAATGGGCTTTAAATAGAAGAAGGTTAGAAGGTATTTGCAAGTAGTGGAATACGGTTAAAATTAGAAACTGATAGTTTTCTACTTGCCTTTAAACAATGTGAGTTAGTTATTGATTTCTTTTGCTCTCGTTTTGTGGTCAATAATGTTTAGCAAGAGAAATACCTATATATTGCAGCAGATAAGAAGGAATTAGCTGCTTATCGTTAAAATGCAGTAATACTTTTCTTATGTTAGTTGAAAATATTATCTTTTACACTCACATTTTTCAAATTTTTCAAATGTGTCCCTTAAAAATAAAGTATTATCTTCTAAGCTTACATTTTTTCAAATGTGTCTCTCAAGAATTTTTGTTCTCTCATTTTCAATTCTTTTATCTCTCCTACTTATTGTTTGAGTAGAAGACAATATTTTTATTACATAACATACAAAAACTATTACCCTAGGTTTAATTTTTATATTTAGTGATTATTTGACGTGTCTTATTTTTATATTTTATTCTCTTTAAAAGCAGAACTTTAATCAAATATTTTTTTTTTCAGTGAAGAAAAATGTTAAAAGATAAAAGCTTCTTGGAGGTTTTTTTTTTTTTAAAGATATGTGTTAGCTTTTTGAAGTCCTTTGATATATATATATATATATATATATATAGAGGTAGGATCCTTTGACACCAGTGTCAAATTTGAAGTTTGACACCTTATCTGAGAGCCGTTAGATAAAAAAACATAAACGACTCTGATTTGTAAGCATGTGACACTATTGATCTTTTTTGATCTAACGGCTTTTAGATGAGGTGTCAAATTTTAAATTTGACACCGGTGTCAAAGGATCGTACCTCATATATATATATATATATATATATATATATATATATGTGTTAGTTTTTTTTCGTATAAGCAAAAATTAGGTCAAACATATTTTTATAATAAAAAAAATGTAGAAGTTTTTTTAGACTGTATCAGTTTATTCTTAATTGAGTTTTGAAGTAATTTTTAAGTAAAAAATTTATATAATGATCAAACCGGTTTGGCAGCTTCATGGCCCATTTTGATGGAGGTTTTTTTTTAAAAAAAACTTTTTATTTCTTGATTTTTTTAGTAATAATTTTTTTAAAAGTTAAAATTATTTTATGTTTAAGTGAATCATATAAAAAGTATTTTTAAATAAAAAAAGTTATTTAAATGTTAAAATTAATAAACACTTTTTAAATATAAAATTACTATATATATAGTGGTGGTAGTGGGTAAAGTGGGATTGGGGTAAAATTGAATTCTTAAAAAAATATTTAACTCTTAACTTCTATTTTTATTTTTTTTTTAGAAGTAAGGAATCCTAATTTTTAAAACAAGCATTTCTTTAACATTTTCTTTTTTGAATTCCGCTTTTTCTAAATGTTATTATACAAACACATAAAATTCTTTAAAAGAATTTTTTTAAAACAAATAACTTCTCTAAAAAAAACTAATTAAACTTATTTTTAATTTTTTAATTTTAGTTTAAAAGTAACTTTTAGCATAAAAGAAAAGTTACAAATCAGATTCTAATGATTCATTCTAGTAACAAAATATTCCATAATCCCTCGTATTTAAATGGTCTATTTTGGCAATCCCCCCTCGGCCTTAATCGTGCATGCTATTGCTAGCGTGTTATGGCAAAGCATGATCATTCCTGGTCAAATACATCTCGCGCTACTAGCTTAGTTGCCAAACCCTGGGCTATAAAGAATGGGCTACAATTGGACTTTCAGGCTGGCATCACCTGCACCTTTAGGCCTTGCTGGTTTTTCTTTGTGGAATTGGTTGCACTGGCCAGTTCTTATCAGGGTTGATGACTGCTTGGATAAAATGATTAGGGTCTTAAAACCGAAAGAAAACAAGGAAATCACTGATGCTTAGGTAATTTTTCTTCGTTTGGGTGGGTTTTTTTTTTTTTTTTTTTGGTGTGCGTGGGGTGTTGGTAAGTTTACTATTTGACAGTCTAGTCTCCAGTGGAGAACAATTCTGCGTAAATCAGTTGAGTTCCTTTGTATGATAAGTTTATACTCTCCGTTCATAGCAAGGTAGGGAGGACTAGCCTTCACAAACAAAAAAAGAAGAAAGTAGAACTTGAATTAAATTCGAAAGTCGCTGGACAAAACTGGCACTAGACCTATGAAAGTTATTTATTGATTTGGAATTGGACTGTAAATCATGTTACGAGATAATCTTCATCCTCACAAACCAATAAACTTTGAATCAAAAATTGATGTTTAAATAGGTTGGGTTGAGTTAAACTTTACTTTAAAGAAATTAAATTTCTGTAAAATACTTTAAGTTTGACATGGTCTGTTGTATATGTCCAAATTATAAGTTTATTTCGGTCTATATTTAAAAAATAAAAATCTTCGGTTAAGTCTATTAGTTTGTTTAAGTCTATTAAGTATTTAATAATTAAAATAATAATTAATAATAATTAAAATAATATTAAAATAATATGATTTTATCACAAAATTATTAAAATAATTATTTATTTATTTTCTTTAAAATAAATAATATGATGTAGGTCAATCAATCTATAGGCTTATAAGTCTGACATGTAAAAGAAAGTCTATGATTTACTTTTTAAATAGATTTTTTTTAGGCCTGAGTTTGTTCTATTTGACTATATGTAATAAGTCGAGTCTAACTTGATGCAAGCCGAGCCGTATGCCGTTATTAATTCAGGTGACTCAATTACATCCCTACTCAAAAGATAATCTCTTTTTTTTTCTTTTAATGGACCATTTATTATATTAACATTTTTTTATGTACTTAAAAAATTACTTTTTTTAATATCATTTATCACAAATAATTTAATTGAAAAATTTAAATTGAAAACATTATATGTTGAAATTCGGAATCAAACCAAACAAAATGTTACTTCAATCGCATCAATGACGTACGTGACCTCTAATCTCTCCATTAATCGTATCACGCTCATCAATTAAGAATTTTTTTTTTTTTTTTTAAAGATCAATCAATTAAGATTTTTTTTTATCAATGGATCATCAAAACTAACAATACGCCACTCCACTGAAGTGTCACAGTTCGGGACATTGAGCAGTATGTCACTTTTATAAATAATATTTATTTGTATGTCGTGTTCTAATCAAATTTTAGCAAAATATTACGTAACATTCTCGCTACGCCAATAAGCAAAAACAAACTGAACACATAACATCATTTGCAATTATGCATAGAGAACCTGAGCGCTGTGTAGCAAGAATGGCTTGCTCAACAATAATGGTAGGTCAATGTGACAAATTGTCACATCTGCAAAAAGATGTCCAGATGACTAATCTTGCTGGACTGCCTAGTTAGAATTTCTGTACTTTTGTTATGTGTCAGTACCTCTGCTATTCTCGTTGGGCAGCTAAACGAGAATGACTGTTCATGCAAATACTGTCACATGATATTTTGATAAAATTTAATTGAAATGTGGTATATAAATAAATACTATTTACAAGAGTGACATATTGGTCAATGTCCCTTAATCTCCATCTCCAGGAAGAGAGAACTTATTGTGGTCCGGGACCACCATTTTTTAGGTGGTTACTTAGTGTAAATGAGAGGATAAAATTAAAAAAGAAAAAAAAAACAGAGGGAAAAAGAGAAAGAAAAAATTAGTGTTGTGAGAGGGAACACCAAATCATTGGATGGTCCTGGAGCATAAAAATTATTTCCCTCCAAGAAACAACACGAGCAAGGTGTCAAAGGACAGAGGCTGTCCTAATGTGCTTTATGGGAACCGGTTGTGGACCAATAGCTAACGAACCCATTTAACACGATGACGATAACTCGTGTCATATTCCACGACCTCTATGATATGAATTGCGCTGACCTACTTGATTGTTTTCCGAAATGAGCACATCATTTAATGCGCAAAAAATTACCTTTCTTTTGAATACTAATGTATGAACCTCTCTTTTATTTGAAGGAAAAAAATAAAGTATTGATGCGATGCTTGCTCTATTTAAGGTAATGTATTTTATACATATATTTTGTCGCAATTGACACGAAACCACGCCAACTTGTAAACTCTAATGTAAAGGGGGTAACTGTGTCATTTCGTTGCATTTTGTAATTTTGTGGTCTGGAACTGAATAATGCGGAAAAGGGATGGACCTACAAAGCAGAGAAGAAGAACTAGCCGTTGGGCTTTGGGGTGCGGACAGGCAATAAAGGAAGAGAGGTTCGAGAGCCTGCCTGATCCACATTCAACACAAAAGAAGTGGAAAAAAAAAACAGACAAATAAATGTGCATATGATCTCTCTCGTAAGGAAAAACTAGCCGTTTGTCAAGAAAGAAAACTTAAGAAGCAAATGAAAAAGCATCTGACAATTTTGCTCTCTCTTCCCAACACAAGATTCCTTAATACGCGCCCCCACTCACACATACACAACCTTATGACCAACGCGTCACGTCACGTGCTCCTTCTCAGTTTTCCTCTCTCTTCCCATTCCTTGTGTATACTATAGTGTATACCCTCTTCTCCTACAAAACCCTTATCCAAACTGTTGTTCTTCTGTTTCATTTCTATGATCTTTTTTTCCTCACATCACACCTCTCTTCTTCTCTCACAATAGAAACACAGTGTCTTATGGACAATACTAGAGAGAAGACTAATCAAGTAATCACCTTTCACTCCAAATCTCCTATATTTCCCTCTTGTTATGTTTTAGTTCAATTCTTGCTCCATTGATTGGTTCTTCTCTTCATCTTATTGTAATGGAGAACAAAAGTCTGACTTCAAATTGTTTTTTTTACCATTATTGCCCTTGTCAGATTTTACAACTTGGGATGAGAAATGCTTCTCATTGGCACCGTATCTACCACAACCCACGTTACTTTTTCCGGTTGTTTTTCTGCTTGTGGTTTCTTCTTCTCCCAGTGAAGCCAGTGTTGGGTGAAGAGCGTTGGGATGGAGTGGTTGTGACACAGTCAAACTTCTTATCACTTCAAGCATTCAAGCAAGAATTGGTTGATCCCAAAGGCTTCTTGCGAAGCTGGAATGACAGCGGCTATGGAGCTTGTTCTGGAGGTTGGGTTGGTATTAAGTGTGCTCAGGGACAGGTTATTGTAATAGACCTTCCATGGAAAGGGTTGCAGGGGCATATTACTGAGAGGATTGGCCAACTTCAGGGGCTTCGAAAGCTTAGTCTTCATGATAACCAAATTGGTGGTTCTGTCCCTTCAGCATTGGGACTTCTTCTCAATCTAAGAGGGGTTCAACTCTTCAACAATAGGTTAACGGGGTTCATCCCTCCTTCATTAGGTTACTGTCCTTTGCTTCAGTCTTTAGACCTCAGCAACAATATGCTCACGGGGTCAATCCCTGATAGCCTTGGGAACTCCACTAAGCTTTATTGGCTTGACTTGAGCTTCAATTCCTTCTCTGGTCCAATACCAGCTACCCTAACTCGCTTAACCTCTCTTACCTTTCTTTCTCTTCAACACAATAATCTCTCAGGCTCTATCCCTAACTCATGGGGTGGTAGTCAGCTTCAAAATCTGATTCTAGATCATAACTTCTTCACTGGAAGAATTCCTTCTTCATTGGGCAGCTTAAGCGAACTAAAAGAGATTTCTCTTAGTCATAACCAGTTTAGTGGAGCTATACCAAATAGAATAGGAAGCCTTTCTAGGCTTGAGAGAGTAGATTTTTCTAATAATGCCTTGAACGGAAGCTTGCCTTCCACTCTCTCTAATTCATCCTCGCTCACTCTGTTGAATGTAGGGAACAACCACCTAAGCAATCAAATCCCAGAAGCTTTAGGCAGCTTCCATAACCTTTCTGTTCTAATTTTGAGCAGAAACCAATTTAGTGGCCACATTCCTCAAAGTATTGGAAACATTTCAACGCTTACACAGCTTGATATGTCACTTAATAATCTCAGTGGAGAAATTCCAGTCTCCTTTGACAATCTACGTAATCTTAATTTCTTCAATGTTTCTCATAATAACCTCTCTGGTCCAGTTCCAACCCTGCTCGCCCACAAATTTAACTCAAGCTCATTTGTGGGAAATATTCAACTATGTGGGTACAGCTCTTCAACCCCATGTCCCTCGCCAGGTCCTGGTGAAGAAGGACAAGGAGTCCTTGCTGCACCTCCTGAAATATCAAAACATCACCATCATAAGAAACTAGGTACCAAAGACATAATTCTCATAGCAGCAGGAGTGCTCCTTGTAGTCATGGTAACAATTTGCTGCATCCTGCTCTTCTGCCTGATCAGAAAAAGAGCAACATCAAATGAAGAGGGTGGTCAGGCCACAGGGAGAGCTGCTACCAGGACAGAAAAAAGAGTCCCTTCCGTTGCCGGTGAAGCTGAAGGGGGTGGTGAAGCTGGTGGTAAACTAGTCCATTTTGATGGACCACTAGCTTTTACAGCTGATGATCTCTTGTGTGCAACAGCGGAGATAATGGGAAAGAGCACCTATGGAACAGTGTACAAGGCTACTTTAGAGGATGGAAGCCAAGCTGCAGTGAAACGATTGAGGGAAAAGATCACTAAAAGTCAGAGAGAATTTGAATCCGAAGTTAGTGTTCTAGGGAGAATTCGACATCCAAATCTTTTGGCACTAAGAGCCTATTACTTGGGACCTAAAGGAGAAAAGCTTCTGGTTTTTGATTACATGCCTAAAGGAAGTCTAGCTTCTTTCCTACATGGTAAGTCTAGGTAGTTTGATATATTGCAAAGTTTTTGCTACGGTCATGCTTGTTTGTTTGAGGGTACAATGTTTGTTTAATTTATTAACACTTGAGTGTTTTTTTTTTCATTTTTATGCAGCTCGTGGGCATGAAACAGCCATTGATTGGCCAACGAGGATGAAAATAGCACAGGGAATGGCTCGTGGCTTGTTTTACCTTCATTCCCATGAGAACATTATACATGGGAACCTTACGTCCAGCAATGTCTTGCTTGATGAGAATACAAATGTTAAAATAGCTGATTTTGGTCTTTCTCGGTTGATGACAACTGCTGCTAATTCTAACGTGATTGCAACTGCTGGAGCATTGGGATACCGAGCACCTGAGCTTTCAAAGCTTAAGAAAGCCAACACAAAAACTGATGTATACAGTCTTGGTGTCATCTTGTTAGAACTCCTAACGGGTAAGCCACCTGGTGAGGCTTTGAATGGCGTGGATTTGCCTCAGTGGGTTGCCTCTATTGTCAAAGAGGAGTGGACAAATGAGGTTTTCGATGTAGAGTTGATGAGAGATGCTTCCACAAATGGCGATGAGTTGCTTAACACGTTGAAGCTTGCTTTGCACTGTGTGGATCCTTCTCCATCAGCACGACCAGAAGTTCAGCAAGTCCTCCAGCAGCTAGAAGGGATTAGACCAGACATATCAGCCACTTCTAGTGATGATGGAGCCATCCCTTCCACCAGTGAATAAATTAAGTGTTAAGCACCATGTGTACAATTTTTCCATTTCCATTTCCCTTTCGTTTTGGGCTAAACCTAGTAGGGGGTAGGTAGAGTCTATTATTCTTTCATTCTTATATTAATTTTTGCCTGTTCAATGCCCGTGTCTGTACATACTCCTGTGTTTTAAATCACTTAGAGTGTTTCCTCTTTTAACACTTCATTTCATAATGGAATTTAGCTCTTGTCCACAATCTTGCTCCTCCTCCTCCACTTTATTTTTTACCCCGTAATCTGTTTTCTCACCAGTTTATGTTAAATCATATTTCTTTATACGTGTACGTACGTAAACCATGGAAAAATTGATGAAGTGAAACCAATAGGCGTGCGTTGTTCATCTTCATCCTATTGACATCCAAAGTAGTCTTTTTTTCTTCTTCTTTTTTTATTCCAGATTGGCGCTAAAAAATATTTTAAGGACTAGTCTAAGTTAAATGAGATTTTAAGATTGTACTGGAACCACAACTATTCAGGAGACTTCTACTTTTAGTCCGCTGGGTTAGTGTCAATTGAGACCTCGATTTTATTTTATTTTCTGTCAATTTATGACATAAAAAAATATCATAATTCATCCAATTAAAGTCCTTCCCTGGAAATCCCGATGAAGGAGAAAACGAGCAGAGGACTCAATAAGTTAAACTACCTAGCAAGGAATGATACAAACCCCACCATTGAGAGCATCGCATTTGTCTAAACACTAATCTTAAATGTCACAAAAACAAGAAAGTATGTGCATATATAACTCTGATTAGCTAAAATTAAGTTCACCGAATATAGTGAAAAAGTACTTCTATACTACACAACCTTAAAATTAATGAAACAATCTAGAAAGCAGCATAAAAAGGTCGAAGACAAAAATTTACAGCCAAGTACATTTTAGCTGCTGTCTCTTGAGTATGTAGCGGTTTCTTCTGCAAGCTTCTCCCACACAGCTGCCATCTTCTCTGCATAGCCTGTCTGTAAAATGCATGATGTAGTATAGTTACTTTCTTAAACATAAATGGTCAAGCCATCTAAATGTAACAGTTTCCAGAACATAGAAAATAAAGGAAGGTAGGTTACTTGATTGACAACAAACCCTCGCAGCATGCTTAGGAAGTCGTTATGCCTCTCTTTGTCAATTCTTTCAAGCTCACTCCTATTATTTTCCTGCAAACATTCCATATTCACACCTGATGTTTTGACAAAATATTCCAAGATAAAGACTCCCAGCAATGATTACATAAATTTTAATTAATGATTTATTTTTTATAAAAAGAATCCCCATTAAACCCAATTTTTATAGAAATATAAGTTTGAACTAATATGAACAATACATATCAGTAAATCACACATATTGACCTGGAGAACAAATAACAGCCAAAGCAGAGAGATAATCAAACAAGTAGTTAAGAGCCTAAGAACTGGAACTTATATTGGCGAAAAAAGAAAAGAAAAGACCATCCAGCATGAATTCCACCTCCCAGAACTCGATAAAAATTGTAAATTAGAAAGTGAAAATTTATTCCCACTCTAGAGTACTCTCATCGCATGTGACTCTCATAAGTTCCACCGTAGCTCCATCTGTAAAGAACCAATTCAACCCAAAAGCTTAAGCTATTGGGTGAGGTTACATTAATGATTTTATATATCTCAACATGCTCCCTCACACGAGAGCCCACTGGGCTTGAAGGGTGGACAATGCACATGCCCACCTACCTGTGCGAACAAAGAAATTCCACTTGAAAGAAAGTGGGGGGCGGCGAGGATCGAACCTGGGACACGAGACTCTGATACCATGTAAAGAACCAATTCAACCCAAAAGCTTAAGCTATTGGGTGAGGTTACATTAATGATTTTATATATCTCAACACCATCATAGCAACCCCAGAGTTCCTAGTGATTGCATTCTCAACAGCAAAGAAGAAAACAGATCCAATATCCACCGTGAGTGAGAATTGAAGAGAGAGAGAGACACACAGAGAGGGGGGGGGGGGGTGAAGCTGTAGGAATGTAGTGGATCTAGTGGTAGATTGGAGAAAACTAGAGTATTTTGGGGCAGGTGTGAAATCTACTCTTCTCATAGGATGTGTCAGGTACATTTGTTAGTGTTCAGAATGTGTCTTATCTAAGAATTTCTCCCAAGCAATATATAACATGAAGCAAATAATATAAACAGATTTTATGATCAGTAGTTCAGTACTTTTATCTGATTCTAAACAGCATATATAAATTATACAAACCTACCTAATCAATCAAAACAGATTTGGTCCTACAGAAACCAGTTGTAGATTTCACCATAGATTAAAAAACATGATTGGATCAGCTAGTTCAATCAGAAAACTGTGAATCAGTCCTGTGTGAGGTTCGTTCAGCCAATTAAACCAGAAGAACCAAGAACCGGTACAGAACAAGTTGAACTGGTATAAAACTAGCAAAACCGATAAAAACCAGCGGTTTATTGATTTCCACCATTTTGTTATATATAATTTTTAACTTAACCAAAAACATTTTTTGAGCCAAATAAAGGCCCAATGCCAAGCTACAAAGGCGCACATATAAGCATGGGAAGAGATGGTGGCAGCGTTTTTTGGATACAATTTACGCTTCAGCAACAGTAAGATTGAAAATAAACGTCTCTATATATTGTATGCTAGAATTTACGCTCACTATTCTATTTAGAACTTAGAAGTATCGCCTCCTCTTCTTTTTGGATACAATGGTGGCACTGAAGTTTGAACTTATAACCTCATGCAAACTACCCAAACCCCTCACCACTAACCCACTCCTAGTGACTTGAGTATAGACTCCTCTTAGCACATATGTTAAATGCTTGGATGTTTCATTCATTGTCTAACGTGGGACTTTGAAGTTTGAAGTACTAGGTAACATAATGGTTATCCTTTCTTTGCTTTAATCCATGCACAATTTATTGAATGGTTATTATTTAGCCTTTTAGTATAGCGTTTTATCTTATAGGACATATAATATGGTCCTTTATGGTAATTTAAAATTTCACAAAATTGATTTTTCATGATTTTGTGTTAGTTTATTACTTAATATATTATATAAAGGATAAAAAATGGCATATCCTGATACACAAGACTTTCCAACTTTGTAAGGGTGGATATAAGGGTCGACTGTACACAGCCTTACCTTCACACTTTTGCAAAGAGACTATTTACTAGACTCAAATTCATTATATAACATTAAAAAATACATCTCTAATTATCATTGGTTTGACCAAAGTAGGATTGGTGAACTGTGAACCAATGTCTTCAGCGACCAGTCCATTTAAAAACATTAGATTTTAGATATTAAGATGACAATAGATGTAAAAATGAAGTTTAAATATGATACTAAATCTGCTATTGATTAACAATTTTGATGGAAGCAGCCCTCAATGAAACATTTACAAGTGCATAAAAATATTTCTTTTGCCCCAACACTTTTCTATAAATAAATTTGCATTATAGACAACAAGAAAATCATGTGAAAACAAATTATAACATGTCAAATTTATTATCAATGTGTATCAATAATTATTTTCATTATGATCATTTATGATAACTTAATTGGATCTCATTCTCAATTTTCCATAAGGGGTATATGAGAAGTTTTGAGAATTCAAGAGAAGGTCACGGCGAGACGAGCCGTTTCTCATTAATGATAGGTGTCAAGTGGAAGTATAGTGATGTATGCAGCTGAGGCATCCTAACAGAAGTTTAGAGTTTAGTGAAAATACCAAACTCAGTCACTGAGTTATATAGTGTCAAATTCTCTCCCTAGGCAAGTATAACTTTACAAATGAAATAAAAGAAAATAAAGACAATCATCTTCAAAATTTGGCAAATACGGAGACATGAATTGTATAGTATGCCAAAGAAAATATAGAAAGGTCAGTTTTGGAAGTAATATGTAGGGAGAAAATAGCTTAAAGTTGCAAGAATAAAGCTGCATCAGAGTTACAGATGCTAAGGGAGAGGAGAACCCACAAAAAGATAAGCGAAATGTTACCTTGATTCGTTCATACTCTTTATCTGCACAAATCTTAGCATTCTCAGTAACTCTAATGGCTTCTCTCATCTCTTCAATTTTCCGCATCCTCGACTTATCTCCACCAAATATTTTGGATGAAGCAACTTCGAGCTTCTCAACCCGTGAATGTAAAGAAGCTAGTTCTGATGAGAGTGTTTGAAAAGTCAATAAAGCACTTGATCGGTCAGAAAATGCATTGTTGATGGCTAGCATTGTCCCAAGGTATTCATGTAGTTTATCCTGTAACATAAACAAAATATTACTCATCAACAACCGAAAAGTGTCAGGGATCATACTAGGAGGCTAACACATCTGTCACCATGAAAGTTTCCATGGCAGATTTGTATACAAGCTAAAACGTTCTATCATAAGACATTAGAACTTGTACGCACCAAATGTTTGATTGTTTGTGTATTCAGCTCTCGATATAACCTGCTTGCTTTAACAGCTGCAGTTGCCACATTTTTCATGTCAGCAGCTCGTACTCTCTGAGAATCGAATATGGCTTCTTCCGTCTCAAATTTGGTGAGTTTTACAAAAGCCAACCCTAGTTCACCCATTGTTTCACCCATGTCTTGCTGAACTTTTACAAGAGATTCAGCCTGCAAGCCAATGTGGATAAACACAATCAAGCCTAGGGTTCAAAGAAGGAAACACAACACAGTTCTTCAATAACCCATTCAATTCCACATGAAAAAAATGGCAATGCAATTCTACAAAGGAGAATATTTTGAACAAAATCCCCTAAAAGAAGAATGTTTTTCAATTCAACCGAGTAAGTCAACAACCAAAACAACACAAACAAAATCCTAACCTGCTGAGAAACATTGCTAAGTTGGTTCTCAAACTCCATCAACTTGTCCTTCCTCTCCATAAACTCCTTATCTTCCTCAAACACCAAGGGTTTGGTTCCACCCCAATCATTGGAAACAGACTGCTTCAACTCCTTGAAAATTCTGAGCAAGTCTCTCCCAACCTTAGCAGGCTGAGACACATCATTCAAGTCCACACCCGCAGCCACCACAGCCTCTCCACCAAACAGCTGCCGGGGAAGATTCACCGCGCCGTCGAGCATTCTCGACGCCACGTCGGTGGTCTTCGCCAGTGGCAGCTTCCCCTTCACCTCCAGAAACACCTTCAGCTCCTCGCTCTTCCCAATTACAGGGTGCGCACCCAATTTTCTTAGGTACTTCTCCAACGCCACCCTCCTCTGTTCCACAAAATCCTGCATCTGCATCACCTGGCTCTCCACCGTGCTCTTCTCCGGCCGGACCGGGATGAAGTACCCCCGGTAAGTCTCCGACAACCGGTCCGACAACGTCACCACGTCACGAAACCTTCTCCGGACGCTGAATTCGGACCCGGGTCCTCCGAATTCGGGTAAGTTCGTTGTGGTGGTTATGAGGTAGGTGTAGTAGGTGTTGCCGCCGGGAACGAGGGAGTTCGTGAGTTCCTGCTCCTTCTGGGGATCGGAGACGGAGATGTGGAGGTAATCGGAACTGGATCCTGTGGAAAGTTCTAGGGTTTTGTCGTGGCCGTTGGAATCGAAGGAGGTGAAGATTGCGTCGGCGTAGGAAGGTGGGTCCAGGAAGGAATTGAAGGGGGATTTAGGGCTTTGCGGCGGCGGTTGGAGGTGGCCGGAATCGTCGAGGACGAGGGACTCCATTTCCCCGTCTTGGGAAGCGTGAACATCGTAATGATCCTCATTCATCATTTTTTTCCTTTTTTGGATGCAATGAATCAACAGTTTTGGGTGTCATCGGAAATGGGTTTGTGGGTCATGGTGAATGAAGAAGACTGAACAACACTGAGTCAGCGAGTCAGGGAGCGGGTATGACTCGGGCTTGTTGTTGAGTCAACTCGCGTAAGAAAAAGAAAAAAAGAAAATGAAGGAAACGAGGGAAGGTTCCAATTTGTGGGTTGGGTTCAAGTTCAATTCAATCAAATGGCTGCCACCTCACAACATGAGAAACCCGTTATTTGTTATGTGTCACGCACGCTCACGCCCCTCGTTTAAAAAAAAAAAACAGAACCGTTTTTTCAATCTGCCAATTAAACTGGTGGCAGCGTTTTCTGGTTTGCAAGTTGTAAACCAGCTTCAACGCAAATAGCTTTGGTTCTTCAATTTTGAAATGGATTGACCGAGTGTTTATTTTCTAGTGCAAATTTCTTTTGGTTCTGAAGTTTGCATTTATGATAGTTGTTACTGCTGCTTGAAACTTTTCCTCTCTCTCTCAATTAAATCCAATTCTATAATGCATTTATTTTACAGTTAATGTTTTCGACACATATATTATGGATTTGCTTTTTTATCGAGACGACAAAAATTAAAGTATTTTTGTAATTATAATTTATTTTTAAATTATAATAATTTTTTTATTATAATTTTTTTATTTTTAACTCAAAACGACGTTATTTTGAGAGCAGAGTATAAATAATTTATATATATTCACTATAAAAACATTAAAGACTATAGTTATTGCATAAAAGTATTCATTTGTTACTTTAATTCCTTCGCTTAATAATTACCTAATCACTTAATAATGTTTTTTAAGATCATCATAGGAATAAAAAACTGTAGTCAAGATAAGATTAACTTAAATTAGATATTTAACTAAATAATATCTAACATTACCTCCTAGATTCCTTTATTCCTATCTTCCAAATTACTATGTTTTCATTGTGCCTTTCAATTTGTCAACTTAGGAAAAAGATGTGCTAAGATTAAAGAAAGGGAATTGTTTTTATTATGTTACATAATCTAAAATCATCTTCTTACACACACGAATTTTATATGGGATCCATTTTAAATTTTTTCTTTTTTTCCTCTCCTCTCTCCTCTCTCCTCCTTTTGTGAGAGTAGGAAATTTGCTTTTAGGTTATGTTACATTACAAAAGCAATTCCCTTAAAGAAAAAGATCAGAAAAATTGCTATGAAAACTGATCCACACCGTACAAGAGCTTCTTTTTCCTTTCATCGGGCCATTTTGGATATTGTGAAGCAACGAATTGGATTAATATTTGTGGCACCATTAAAGTTATCAGTTTTTTTTTTTTAACGAGTTTGAATGATATCTTTGATACAAGGAAGCTTTTCTATAATGGATCCTTGGCCTTTTACACAAGGAAAAGAGACGTATAATATAAGGAAAAGAAGTAAATTCCAAACCACAGGCCTGGTGACTTGTCACTTGGGCCTATTTCTGATATTTCTTTCATTGTTATCACTTATTGCATCCGTTGTTTCACCATCCTGTTTGTCATTTCCAGCATTCGAAGGCCCATTAAGAAGAGATTTGGGTTTTATATATACAGAAAGCCACGACTGGCATTGATGTGAGTTTGATGAAATATCTTTTGTGAGCTTTTGAATAGTTTTCACTATGTAATTAGCATTACTCTGTTAAGAAATCAATTCTTTGTGAATACCGAGTATGTAAGTTGAAAAATTGGCAATTGAATGACGCGTTTGTTAAGCTGTTTGCTTTCGTTAATGCAGATTTGAAATGAAATATTTTGTCTTCTTGTTTCGAATGTAATTCTTCTTAAAGGGTGTCACGTAGGATATATATAATAAACATGGAATAACATTAACAGCTGTATGTCAATTCTACATTGACCAGCTGAAGTTTGGTTTATTGAATTGGCATTATGCATCAATAATTAATACTTTATTGCTGTGATTTACTCATAGTTCAAAATAAATAGTGCGTTAAGATTTTAATTGATATGTCGGAATCAATCAACATGGTAGGCCAGAATGATTTTTATCGCTCTAAATAATGCAGCTTGTGATCGATAGAGAAAACACTTATTGATGTACTTTTATTTGTTAGGCAAGTAGTCACACTGATGTGATAAATAGATAATTGGCTTTTCTCCATATAGAACAAAATCCATCAGACACGATTTTCCTAAAATTTCTCAAGATAATTTCTCTGAGCTTATACTTAGAAAAGGTCTGTGTGAAAATGGGTGAGCAAAAAGATGGCACTGCTGTTCAGATGCATATCGGTTAATCAGGCTAATTTGGAGGGAGAGATTTAAAGATAGTGTGATATTAAAGAGAATGGTGGGGAACTTCTGATTCAAGTAGATAGTATAAGGTAGTGTTTGGTTCAAATTTTTTGTTGAGATCTCCATGCATTTGGGCTTGGCAATCAATTTTGTTTGGTAGAGGAGATATAAAAACTTACCCACCAAAGTCATTTGCCCAGCAATACAGAATCAAATGCAAAAATAAAAGAAATACACTGTTGAAGTTGTTCAATCTCAATGTAGTATTTGCATATAACCGGGCAAGTGGGAAAAAGTTGACAAAAATTCACAAAATTTAACCAATTTTTCTGGTAAAATTTTCGCCAACCAAATAACTTTTTCTAACTTTTTTATCAAACTCATTTTTCTATCATATTCCTAGTAATTGCATTTACGTGATAAAAAAAAATATCACTTCTACCAAACGTCCCTAAGAAAAAAGAACAGAAGGAAAAACTTAGATATGCTTGATGCGGAAACATACCTCACAAGTCACAACTAGTGGATTCATTATTGTTGTGCCCTTCCCCCACTGTTCCACAGATTGGGAGAGTAGCTTCACAAAGAGTAGAATATGCATGGAATCATCTTATACTCCCCCATTGCAAATCGGAGAGACAGTTGTACATTATGATATTTCTCTAGCTTTCTAAATTTGGGTCAGTATATAATATATAGAGAAAAACTCCATTATCTCCGTACAAATTGAGTTTTTAATACTTCATCTATGTTATATAGAAAGCAGCGTTTGACAAGTGCTCTTACATAAGTTTCCACTTCTAATTTTTATTCATATTAGCCATGGATAAAGTATTAATTTCAAGAGTCTATTTTTAAATCTGTTTAAGATAGCACAATTTATAGAAATTTTCCCCATTTGTTATTCTTTAGGTTTTCATAAAGAAGTTAATTTTTGTTTGTAGTGAATTTGTAAATATACATAAATGACGATTTTAAGAATTGATTATTTTAAAAAACGTTATTTAGGTAGAATTAAGTGGAATGAACTAAGCTAATGAATAGGTTCGTATAGGTTTCATTCAAATCAAATTCGGGTATGTCAAAACTAGCTAGTTCATGTTAAATTAAGTCAATTTTAATATTGAAGTTGAGCAGAGATTAATTCCATCCCGATTCATGTGGTACAAAATTGGCGTATAAGATTTTACCTTTATGCCACCAACCAGGCTATAGAGTTTTTGGCATTTGCGCCATCAATAGGGACATCGGATGCTTCACACATGGAACATGCACACAAAAGTTCATACAGCATTATAACGATTTTGACTTCAATTTGAGGGCCAGAAGCTTTGATTTGATGAACTTGTAGAGATTCTCTCACTGAAACCCGTAATGGCTTCATGACTCATGAGTAGTGTATAACGTGCATTTTATAAGAAAGTAGATGTAACATTTTGTGCGTGATCTTTAAGAAGGCCCCATTTCGGATACAGGCGTATATAGCAGAGAATGATGAATTTGTAATTGTTTAATTTTATTTAATCTCTCTAATTACTTTGGGTTAGACAAAACATTGATGTTGGAATTAAAATTTCTCAATTAGGCACCCACTTGTAACTAACCATGAAAATGAAAACACAAGAAATCAAAAACCCAAACAAGAATAAACAAAAGATGGGAAATAATTATTTTACCAGAAAAAATGAAAAGTTTTTGAGAGAGAGAGAGAGAGAGACCAACCGGCAAATTTTGACAAGTAATGTGGGTTTCTGCTCTCGTGTCAATTTTCAGCATTCTTACTTTATTTTTCCAATTCATGTATAACGACTTTTGATGTACTTTTATTTTTCCTTCTTAAGAATATGAGAAAGTCAGTAACAAACTCTACCAACTTGTATATATGATGCTCTCTCTCTCTTTATTTATTGTTCACCTATCCAATCCTAGCCATTTTGGTTTCTCTATCTCGTGTGTTTAATCTTTGTCACGCTCGCCTTGAGTTTGACAGGCTTTCGTTCTCAGTATCTAACGGTTTTGTGACAAACCAAAAATAATCTATGGGGCTTGGCTAGATGTTGTTATCAACTCAGATGTAGCCATCATTCCTTGGCATTATCCGATTCAGAAAAAGACCTTCCTATAAACATAGAGTGATATACAAATTAATAGAGGGAACGTTCCATCTTCCTTGTCATTTAAGATTTGTATATTGTACAAAACTTAATACGTGGTTCGGGAGATATGATGTTAAAAATTAATTCAATCAGAAATTTTAACATCCATTTCATTTCATTTATTTTTTAATATTGTGCTGATTTTAACTTACATTTTAATTTTATAAGAAAATAGAGATTGTGAAGTTCAAACTCGTAACTATTTATTTACAACTTCTGATAACATGTAATACAATCAATTCAAACCAGAAATTTAAATTTATATGTAATGTTCACATATTAATGATTCTATATTAGTAGTTTTAACACATCCAACCATTCCTTAGACCAAATGCATTTTTTCATCACATATTTTTTGGATTTAATGGGAGTTATGTGAAAGAAACTAGTACGTCTTCTTAGTTAATTAATTTTGTATTTAAATAATTGAATTGGTAATCGTTCTGAAAATAAATAACATTAATTAGGGGAATCAAACAAACAGATCATTAGGGAAACCAAATCCTCCACATCACATAAAAATTTGAAGAAAAAGAGGGGGTGGCATAGTTCTCTTATTCTAAGTTGAGCAGTTTTCATCAAACGAGTAATGGGAGGTATATGGTCAAATATATCTGAAAAACCGTCAGCTGTGACATTTTAGTTTAACATGTGGCGCTACGGTGATACCCTAATATTGTTCGTCAAAGGGATGATGATGTTGATTATACATCCAAGTACGTACGTATCTTTGAGCATGACAGGTTTGTGTGTCGTAATTCGCTGTTGATCATCCATGTTTGAAATGTTGAGAGACAGGCCACCTAATTTAATACTCTTTAAGTTACATTTTTCATAAGTACCTATAACTAAATTCTTGTTTGACCCAATCAAATCACTTTAAATTCTATACTAGTTTATTAATTTGCTACCGCCGCACCTAATACGGCATCTACCTTTTTACATTCAATGTTAGTTTCTTCCCAATCAATATAGACACTTGAATTAAACAAAACCATTAGCCTAACTGTATATCCTAATATTCGCGTTCTTGAATAACTATTAACGATTAGCAGTCTTTTTAAGCGCTTTATTTTCCCCAACCACCGAAATAAGGTGAAATTATATTGGACTAACGCAAAATTAATTTGCACTTTGTTTACTTTCCAAACTTCTTAGCTTACAATTAAATTATATTCAATCCCAATCACAAGAATCACTAGATCAAAAGAAAATACATTAATTAGTTTAAAGGCGGCAAGGTTACCTGCACTGAATAATAACATGTAGTTTTTGTAGGTAAACCATTTCAGGCCATATGACAAAATTAATTAACAAATATGCATAGGACATTTTGACTTGTATAGATAAAAGATAAAAACATTTGTGCTGCTTTGCTTTTTGTTCTGGTCCCTTTGGAATGTCATACTTAGGTGAATAAAAAGACGAAAAGAAAAGAAGTAAATTAAAACGCGTCCTATTCTCTAAACAAGTCTCAATTATGGTTTGCGAAAATTCAACATCTAAATGAAGACTTGTGAATCAAGCAATCATGAACGCAATTAACTAGTGGGTGCAACAACTTTTATAGGGTTGAACTAAGTTTCTCTCAAGGAGTATGACCACATTGCCGTAACATAACCTAATTTGCCAACCTATACGACTCTAGCTCTTTCCTATAAAAGCATCCTCTCCCACTCTTACCAGCATTGCAATTTGCAACCTTAACCATCATTGACACACAGGTTTTAATTTGTTGCATGCTCCACTAGCTAGCTAAATTGAAAGATGGAAGCTCTCAAGACCATTCCCACCAAGGGAAAATACTCCATCTTCTTAGCCATTTTTGTTCTCTTAGCTTCATTGTCTTCAGCATTTGCCAAAATTCAGCAGCACGAGTTTGTTGTACGTTAATTCTGTAACTTTTTCTTTCTCTTTCATAAGGCCCTTTCTTGCTATTTGTTCTTTTCCTTTAATAAGAAACTTGCTATTTGTAACGAGACAGGTTCAAGCTACTCCAGTGAAGAGGCTGTGCAATACCCACAGCACCATCACAGTGAATGGACAATTCCCGGGCCCAACATTGGAAATCTACAATGGAGACACTTTGGTCGTGAAAGTCATCAACAAAGCTCGTTACAATGTGACCATTCACTGGTATAATATTCAAGCTAGCATTTTGGCTTTACTTTATACTCGCATACATATATATGTTGCAATTGCATGCTAAAATCACATGCATGAAAGTTTTAGAAGCAAATAATAATTCGAGTGATCACTTATTTGTTGCTCCTTGTAATTTTGTATATGTTTTAGGCACGGTATTCGACAAATGAGAACAGGGTGGGCTGATGGACCAGAATTTGTGACTCAGTGTCCCATTCGACCTGGAGAAAGTTACACCTATCGTTTTACTGTTCAAGGACAAGAAGGAACACTTTGGTGGCACGCTCATAGCTCATGGCTAAGAGCCACCGTTTATGGAGCTTTAATCATTCGTCCCAGGGAAGGAGAGGCCTACCCTTTTCCTAAGCCAAAGCGCGAGACACCCATTCTTCTAGGTAATGATTGTATTCCACATATAATTGATTTAAAATGTAATGATTTTTTTATTTTTTGTTTTTTGTTTTTTGGACAAAGATTATATTCATGATTAAGTTTATTTAACGTACGGTGAAAATAATGATGATTGTTAGGGGAATGGTGGGACGCAAACCCCATAGATGTTCTGAGGCAGGCCACACAAACAGGAGCAGCACCGAACGTCTCTGATGCTTACACTATCAATGGTCAACCTGGCGATCTTTACAAGTGCTCTAGCCAAGGTTTGATTCTTTGTTAATTTTGATGGAATTACTCATCAACATGTCACATGTCTCGCTTAATTAATTAATATACTTAAAAAAAGGGGCAATAGTGATAAAAGTCAAATTTAACTTTTTAGCAAAACAATCAAAATATAAAATTATTAAATCTTTTAATTAATTATATATTGTGTAACATTGATAAGTCAATATAGGATTTGATTAGAGGAAATAAATTTGATATGGTACCTAGCTAGTAAGCAGGGAAAAGAAAAGAAAAATGCATAGTAAAAACATATGAGTTTTTGAATGAATAACTTTTAATTGAATGAATCTATATCAAATAAAGAAAAAGAAATATGAATCTTTATACATTGATTTTATGAATGTGACATTATTTTTTTCCTTGACATGATTGGCAATGCAGAGACAACTATTGTTCCAGTAGATTCTGGCGAGACCAACCTCCTCCGAGTCATCAATGCTGCACTCAACCAACCCCTCTTCTTCACCGTAGCCAACCACAAGTTCACAGTGGTTGGTGCTGATGCCTCTTACCTTAAGCCTTTCACCACCACAGTCATCATGGTAGGACCTGGCCAAACCACCGACGTTCTCATCAGCGGTGACCAACCACCATCACGGTACTACATGGCGGCGCGTGCTTACCAATCAGCACAAAACGCTCCCTTTGACAACACAACCACCACTGCCATTCTTGAATACAAATCAGCCCCATGTCCTGCTAAGGGAGTAGCAGTTAAAACAGTTATGCCTTCTCTCCCTGCTTACAATGACACAAACACAGTCACTTCATTCAGCAGAAGCTTCAGAAGCCCAAGGCAAGTTGAGGTTCCCACAGAAATAGATGAGAACCTCTTCTTCACTATTGGCTTAGGACTCAACAATTGCCCACCAAATTTCAATGCAAACCAATGTCAAGGACCCAATGGGACACGGTTCACTGCTAGCATGAACAATGTGTCATTTGTTCTCCCAAACAACGTTTCAATCCTTCAGGCTCATAAACTTGGAGTTCAAGGAGTGTTCACCACTGATTTTCCGGTTAACCCTCCGGTGCAATTTGACTACACCGGTAATGTGAGCCGTTCACTCTGGCAACCTGTTCCGGGGACTAAAGTAACCAAGTTGAAGTTTGGATCAAGGGTGCAGATTGTGTTGCAGGACACTAGTATTGTCACGCCTGAGAACCACCCAATTCATCTTCATGGGTATGATTTCTACATCGTAGCAGAGGGATTTGGAAATTTTGACTCCAAGAAAGATACATCAAAATTCAACCTTGTTGATCCACCTATGAGGAACACAGTGGCAGTACCTGTGAATGGATGGGCAGTTATCAGATTTGTTGCTGACAACCCAGGTAATATTAGTTCAATTCCAATTTTGCTTTTCTCTAAATAAATAAAAAAAAAATCAATTATTTGATATTTGATCTCATATAATTGGGTGATGTATGTGATGTATGTAGGTGCTTGGATTATGCATTGTCACTTGGATGTTCATATCGGGTGGGGTTTGGCCACTGTGCTATTGGTAGATGACGGAGTAGGCCTATTGCAATCCATAGAACCCCCTCCGGAGGACCTGCCTCTCTGTTAGGATAATCAAAATTGTCAAATTCGTTAGCCCAGTTATCAGGGTCGTAATCTTTCTTAGTATTGAAGTTTATTGTTGTTTCCCTGCATTGGGGGCTTTTCTCATTTTGGTCTGTATCATTTTTCTTTTCATATATAGTATAGTAGATAAATCGGGTTTAGAAGAGATGGTGATGTGATTGCAACACAAAATGCCATCTGATACGATCACAAGCCCGACTGGTTACATTGATGTTAGATTTCATTTTTTCCCCTTTCATGGTTAATGTTATAAACAATGATTTGATCATATATCTGTCCCTCTCTTTCCTACTCTCTCGAGTATATATATATATATATATATATATATTTGTGAACTGTGATAGAAGAGTGAAACAGAATACAATGTTAAAAAAAAAATCACATTTCACTAAATGTCAGACTCTGAACATCATAACAATTTCACAAAATAAAAATAGTGCATGAAATAATTACAAATTGATGAAGTAGATTGTGGAGCTACGGTCTTTCTGTTTATGACGACCAAATATACTAAACACATTTGACTAGGTTGAGGAACTAATGGGGGTTTAGGATTAAGCAACTACCATACCATGCATGCCATACATAAAAAAATGGAAGGAGTGCTTAATCTGATACTGGCACGTATGCCGTGAAAGCATGGAGAATACTTCTTCGGACTATTTTAGGAAAACAAAATGTCACACTTTTACATGAAATTGCATTTAAGTGAAGGTCAATATGTGGGTACAACGGCAATGGGGGACAATTGGTGCACCCAAACAAGTAAAAACCAGGACAGAAGAAAACAAGTTACAAGTTATATAAAAGGCCATTCTATACAAGAAAATTAAGGCCCCAAAGACCCAATGTATTCTGGTCTCCAACTTTTTACTTTTGCGAACAAAACCAAGAATTGGGAAAAACGCAGAAAGCTGGATTAACGTTTGAGTTTCCTGTTAAAGTCAACGTTTTTTATAAGGCAAGCAGAAAAATTATTACACAAGTTAAATAATTACTACAGACAGTGAGACAGTACATGTGGTGTGTGCACGGCTGCAATATCATAGTATCAAACATTGAAAATTCCTCAAAAGAATTGTCAACATCTCAAAAATTATCCCCTCTTCCGTTGTCTTTTGACTCTTCCTTGGAAGATGTACAAACGAACCAAACATATTAGCCCAATGCCGAAACGAGGGAATAGGCTCTGAAGTAGCCAGGTATTGGGTAAGGTTTGTGTTTATGGTCCATAGGCTAAAAACCCATTGAAATGGGTTATGAAACCATGGCCAATTTGTGATTTTGGATTTTATGTGGACCTTCTACCCAAATGGACTAGCTCGATTATAAGACAATGTGGTGATAATTTTCAACTTCAATAAGGGGCATTTGGTTGAGCAGAAATTTTTTGAATACTAGGAAAATGTAATTACTAGGGAAATGGTTGGAAAGTGAGTTTGGTAGGAAAATGTAAAAAAAGTTGTTTGGTTGACTGAAATATTACTAGGAAAATTTATTTAAATTTGCAAAATCTATGTTGAGAAGAAACTTCGCACCTATTTTTTCACTTCTCCAGTTATCTCAAAATACCACATCTCAAATGGTATTCTGTAACAGTGAATTTCATCCAAAAATCAACACAAAAATCATTTCCCCATCTATGCTATTTGCCTAGTATTTTTTTCAAAAACCTGAACCAAACGTGATATTTTCCAATATCCACTTACACTTTTCCATCAATCCCAAAATAAATCTTCTACCAAACACTAACATAATAATATGAGAAATTTGTATCCAGCTTGATTCGTATTGTGTCTCGTGTTAGTTCGAAAATAGACACTGACTCGAATTAATTTCTTTCAAATTGTCCGTGTCGTATTAACACGATATTAGTAAAAATAACGTTGAATATAAATATTGTTCGTGTCACATCGTGTTAATTCATATAATAAACATAATAAGTTGAGTATATTGCAGTAGTTATATATTAAAACCATATAAGTATGCAATCTTGTACGTATTTTAAGTATTTCCGTAAAATATTTTCAAATAATTTTATCCATTTAATTGTCCTTGTATTTATTTTAATTATCCGCGGGCAAAATCATGAATTTTAATCATGTTTAGAATAATGACCACGTGGGCAAAATTATCCAAATGGACGTTTATGATTTTCTTTTTTAAATGTAAAAAGAACAAAGTTAAATATTCCAATATGCGAATTTTGGGCCAATTTTATCCTTTTATATATATATATATATATATATGGATAAATGATTTCTCTTGTTGAAAAAAAATATGTCTTGACACAAAACAAGGTGGGGTGCATTGAAAAGAAGAAAGAGAAAAAATAAAGTGAAATCCACACCTTATTTTATATGAGCAACACATTTATTCTCCAGTAACAATAAAAATCAATTTGGCCAAAGGTAACCCAGGTCCGACTGGATGTGGGCAGGGGTGTCAATATAAGTTTTGACAAGCGGGTCAACTTGCGACACAACACGAAAATTCGTGTTCGGGTTGACCTGCAAAAAAATTCGTGTCGTGTTCGTGTTGATGTATTCGTGTTCGTTTGACCCGTATTTTTTTAAAATTATTTTATTTTTAATTTTTTATTATTATTATTTTAATTTTTTTTAATATCGATCCATTTTTAAAAAAAAATTGTCAATTACCATTTTGACCCCTATTTTGCGTGTTATTCGTGTCAACTCGCAAAAAATTCGTGTCGTGTCAGTGTTGAAGATTTTGACAGGAATAAAAATTTGTGTCGTGTTAGTGTTGATGTATTCGTGTCGTGTCGAATTTGTGTCGTGTCGACCCGTTTTGACACCCCTACATGTGGGGGTGTTTTTAGAGATAGTACTGGCAAATGGCTATCTGGTTACTCTTATAGAATTGGTCATTGTAGTGCTATTATGGCTTATGGGGTATTTTAAAGGGTGTTCAAATGGCTTGGGATAATGGTTGGAGGAATTTAATAATAGAAAGTGAAACAGCAGTCACATGACTTACTGCAAGGGGTGAGGTAGCCTTTGAATCTCATATTGTTACTCGTATACGGGCATGGATAAATAGAGAGTGGTCTGTGGTTATCAAACACACGTATAGAGAAGAAAATTGTTGTGCGGATTGGCTGTCTAATTTTCCTTTGGTGTCTCCGGAGCAAGAGGACTTTTGTATTTTCCCTTCTCCCCCTTCTGGTATTTTCTTTTTGTATTTAGCTGATTTAGGTGGTTTTGGTAAAACTCGTTGTATTTGGCCAGTTTAGCCTGTTCTTGTGGGGGTTGTTTTTTCCCCTTCAGGTTACCAAAAAAACAAGAAAAATCAATTATATATATATATATAGGCTTTAATACTTTTACCGTGAATGTAGATAAGTTGGCTACATTCAATCCCGAAATAACGTTGTTTTGGGTTCAATATAGATAACTTATCTACATTAACTGCAGAAAAAATGAACTTATACATATACATATATATATATATAGGGAAAACATTTTCTCCTTTTAAAGGAGAAAAATTTTCTCATGTTAGTGACTCATAATATAAGTCGGGCCCACAAAATAGTGCAGAGAAAAAAAGTTTGAATGTGGGATCCACTTATGCTATGAGTCACTAACATGAGAAAAATTTTCTCCTTTAAAAGGAGAAAATGTTTTCCCATATATATATGGGATGTGTTATTCTGCCTACTCTTAATTTTTTTTATTTTTGCCTACCTCTCTCAACACCGTATGATTACAATCTGATCCAATGGTGGAGATTTATGGTATAAAATCAACCTTTTTACAAGATCCTCTCTCCCACCCATAACCCTTTCTCTTCTCTGCTCATAATAATAATAATAATACTGAAACAAATTTGAGGTTTCTTTACACAGAAAGATTGACATCATTAAATAAGAAGACATCATTTTATTCATTTAAATTAGATGACATCATTTTATTCATTTCATGATCATGGAGTGGGCAATTACAATATTTATGCAAATCAAGCGGGTAGAGTGCAATCGAAGGATTATATGTATTTTTGTCTTCTTGCGATATTGGAAGCTAAGCGGTAGAGTGGAATTGAAGGATTATCAAGCGGGTAGAGTGGAACCGGATGGAATCATGGAGTCGTATGCTATTTTTTATTTTATTATGTACACTGAATTTTGTTTTGTTCTGGATAGATGAGCATAAAAAGCAAAGAAGTAAACTATTTATAATTGAATTTACCAATACGAAAATGAATAAAATGATGTGATATTGTTATTTGGCTGCATGATTGAATTTACCAATCATCTTCCATTGTTATTGGATAGACGAGCATAAAGTGCTTCGCTGTAGGAAAATCGAAAAATCATTTCAGAATTTTGATGATTGCGGCGGCCAGAGGGGAGGAGAGAGAAAGGGTGAGGGAAGTGGGAGAAAGGGTGGTGTAAAAGATTATTTTATACCATAAATCTTTACCATCGGATAAATTGTAATCTAACGATATTGAGAGAGGTAGGCAAAAATAGACAAATTAAGAGTAGGCAGAATAACCTTATATAGAGAGAGAGAGAGGCAGGATCCTTTGACACCAGTGTCAAATTTGAAATTTGACACCTCATCTGAGAGTCGTTAGATCCAAAAAGATCAACGAATCTGATTTGTAAGCATGTGACACCATTGATCTTTTTTTATCTAACGGCTCTCAGATAAAGTGTCAAATTTCAAATTGACACTGGTGTCAAAGGATCCTACCTCATATATATATTTATATATGGATTAAAATCATAAGATATTTTACGTATTTTTATTTCTGCCTTCTTTATCTACTCAATTATAATATCCTTGGATCAGAATTTTATTTTTTCTTTCTACTTTTGAGATTATAATTCAGTAGTATTAAAAATAAGTAGGCAATAAAAAAGATACCTACACTACTAAAAAAGCATGGATTAGTGACGAAATTTAGAGACGGAAAAAAATCCATCTCTAAAAAGGACGAATTCAGATAGGGAATAACAATCCCTCATAAATAGGGAGGAAATTAGAGACAATAATATTTATGTCTCTGTTATTGACAGATTTAGAGACGGAACATCAATCTTTCTCTAATAGGTATCATTTCGTCTCTAAATCTGTCCCTAATAGAGACG